CAAAGTTTATTGTGTTGCCAATAGAAGTGGGTGGGATTCTAAGAATCTGCCCATTTGATGAGGATTAAATTGGTATTTGAATATCTGGATAGAATTAAGGAGTGGCAAGCAGCCTGGGGTGGGCCAGGTACAGGCAATGAGGACCGCAATGAAAAGGCAGTTAAAAGCATTATTGACTGGAATGGGCCAGGTGCCTTGAGCAAACACCGGGAGATCTGGGTTGCTGAAATTTGTGGGAAAGTTCAGGGACCTTTCAGGGGTTTATAATTAGTACACCATCATTCCCCCCTCAAACAAATGGGACCCAAAATCTTTTGTGGTAAAGGAGGAAGGTCTTGGCTTCTGAAACTGCTTCCTGCTAGCAAGGGGCATAGAGATGTCCCTGCCTTGAGGCAAGAGTTTGACTGGAACCAAGCATAGGCTGCATCCAGTGGGCAAAAGGGGGCGGGGTGGACATATTGGCTTTTGTTTTGTTTGCTACCAACTGTAGGTAAATGGCCTATAGTCTAGAAGACACAAATCTGACAAGCAAGTCTGACAAGCTAGTTCAATATGTATATATTGAATTATAGATAGATAGATAGATAGATAGATAGATAGATAGATATAGAGAGAAGTAAAAGTGATGTCAGAATGAGGAAAAACAAAGAAAGAAATCAAGAGCCCCATCAGAATACATTTGACCTACAAGATTATCTGATCTTATTACTTCCCCAAGCTTCCATTCTGATTCTAATTCCTTTGTAGGATCAGATGCTATTGGGAAGTAACAACGCTTTTGCAGGTAAAAGATTGAACCCCTGGGTTCAATATTTACACAAATTAATTTACCAGAGACTTTTACTCCAATTATAACCAAAGAGTTAGGAGGATATTTAAGTAATGACTTAAGCCAAATATCCATTTTTCTATAGGTTACTTCCCTCTAAGAAAACTGATTGCACTAAAATTCTCTTCCCCAAACCAAACTGAAGATGTTTCTGATTTAATTTCAGTTGTTTGGGATATAGAAAGGGAAGCATAAGCTGAATAGCTCAGATTTTAAACACACATTTTATTATCCCAGCCTTAGTCTATGGGATAATAATTCACATGACTATGCAGGCAGGCAGATGACAAGCCCAAGTAAAAATTTACTGACCATTTGCTCTAATTATAGAAATTTGTTATAAAAGGATAAAGCTGGGATAAGATTCATCAATTCCATGTCATAGCTAGACTCAGGAATAGCCAGGTGGGTAACATTCCTTTTCAAAGAAAAATAATGGGGAAACGGAACCAGGAGGATCCCATCTTAGACTAAGGCTAATATTGTCCTCTCAGCTTTTCCAGATGCAGACTTCTACCTGTATCACATTCTCTCTGAGTAGCTTGTGGCATTTCTCTCAGATGGTGTATTATTAAATATTGATTATTGGATGGATTATTATGATCTATTAGACAATTCAAAATCAGTTATAGTCCCATGAGCTTTTACCTCAAACAGCAAGTTTCACTAATCACCACTTGAGGAAAAATTTACCAAGATTTACATCTCAAATTTAAATTTGTCCAGTGTAAAAGCCAATCTTTTAAAGATCATTTCTATATACTTGCAAATTTTCAACAAGCCAAGTTCATTGTTTAGGAACTCCATAACCTAAACAAGCTTTTTGGCAAGTTTACAAAATAAAGGAGGATTGACAGGGACCCCAGAGGAGGGGCTTCCTGTTCACCCCATCTACCCTTAGAGCTTCTGTGGACTGTACCTTTTCACTAGCCCTAAGGACTGCTCTGAATGGGCAGAACCAATGTAGATGAGACTTTCATCCCCTCCTTTCCATACACACAGTAATCAATTACCAGCTTTAGGTTTTAGCATTAAAACAATAACCAAGAATCACAATTTTCATAAGCGATACCCAAATTGTTTTAGCTATAACACAAACAATAAACTTCAGATGACATCAACTGCATTTCCAGATTATCTAAAAATTATTGATAGGATGGTCTTATCAATTGCAGAGGCTGGCTGACTTCTTTACCTCGACCTATCCCCCTTCCCTTTCTCCCCACAGCTGCTGGGGGAGTGGTGATGGGGTGTGGTGGTGATGGTGGTGGTGGTGGTGAGCAGGATGTGTTGAACCTGAGTGATACTTTCAGGCTTTCTGAGTGGCTACAGGGTGCCCAGGGGCCAGGGACATTACCAGTGGGGCCCCACTGTAACTGCTGCCCCTCCCCCCTCCTTCCTTTCACCAGGTTGGGGAAGGTAATGCAATTTCCCTACCATTCTCTTAGTCTGATCTGGGACAGATCAGAAAAACCCAGGGCTTTTCGAAATCCCTGCACTGACATATTCTCTTGACTCAAGGGAAGGGAGTCGGGGAAGGTAGTGACTGAGATTATAAAGACATTATAAGGACTCCTTAATGATCAATCACAAAACCTCCAGAATCTGCTAAGATGTTTTTAGCTGTTCGAACTTTTCACTGTAGTCTTAGCCTGGTCAGAGCCAGGACTACAGGAAGAAGAGTCTTAAGAATTTTTATTTTGAACTTTTGCAATTTTTCTTGGTCCTCTAGACCATATTGAGGCCAGGAACAACAATTTTCTTGGTCCTCCAAATCATATTTAGGTAAGGCACAAAGCTTTCCATTTCAAGGTCTTGGAGACCAAGCTTTTTCCAGTTCTAAACTAGCGACAAATCTTGGGGAAATCCCACTGAGTCTGGCTTCAAGGATTCCAGTATCCATGAGGCTGGAAGAGAAGGGGAATCCTGCAAGTATAGGCATAAGAATGGAGAGTCCCTCTGTGAAGGAGGGTACCAGGGTGTAGAGGGAGGAAGTAAGCATCAGGAAACCAAAAAGCACCTGCAGTTTTCCCAATTCCCTAGCATCTGCTTTGGAAGGTGTGTTTAGGTCTGAGATAACTTCTTAACCATCTGAACCAAATAGAACCTGAGAGCATCAGGCCCAAAAAACACCTCCAAGCCTTCCTAGGTGCTTGAAGAGTGACCCCAACTGCAGAGTGAGAAAGAGATAGAAAGGAGGGGAGGCTTACATACTTTTCAGTCTTGCCTGGAGAATAGCTTGAGATTAGGCAGTTTCCCATTCCCATTGGCAATGTCCCTGGTCCCTGGGCACCTTATAGCCTACCCAGAAAGCCTGGAAGTATCACCCAGGTCAGGGAACCAAAGTATTGAGGTCTAGGAGTGCTGGGACTCTGAAATTTAAGGGCAGAAGATGTGGGTCCTGCCTTCAAAGAATTCAACCACTCAAGCTTTCTTTCAGTCCAAATAGTGAGTTTATAAAGACACTGGTTAGGATTCCTAGGGAATCTGCTCATTTGATGAGGATAATATTGGTACTTCTATACAGATAGATTGTGAGAAGATCTGGATGGGATTAAGGAGTGGCAAGTAGCCTGCGGTGGGCCAGGTAAAGACAATGAGGGTAGAAGTGAAAGGACAGCTAAAAGGATTATTGACTAGCATGGGTAAGGGTGCTTCAGGCAAATGCCAGGGATCTGGGTTCAGGAGCTGGGTTCAGGAGTGGGGTTCCTGAAATTTGTGGGAAAGTTCAGGGACCTTTTAGGGGTTCATCATTAGCACCTCATCAGCCTCTGGCCTCAAAGAGTTTACCATCCATCAGGGAAAACAAGAAGTATACATACATACATACATACACACGCAAATTTGGAAAAGATAAATTTTTTGTGAGAAAGAACTCTGATGGGGTGGAGGGAGGAAGAATCAGGAAAGGCCTCATGTAAAAAGGGATGCTGAAACTGAACTTTAAAGAAAACTGAGGATTCCAAGTAGAAGAGAGTGCTTTCTAGACATAGAAGACAGCCAGTCCAAGGGCACAGAGATGCAAAATGTTCTTACTCTAGACACTATATTTCTATTTATTACTTTTGGTAAGTAATAATAATAATAACAATAATAAGAGCTAACATTTATATACATTTACTATGTGCTAGGCACTGTGCTAACAGTTATATCATTTGACCCTCACAACAACCCTGGGAGGCAGGAGCTATTATTATCTCCATTTACAAGTGAGGAAACTGAGACCAGCAGAGGTTTAAGTGACTTGCACAAGGACACACAGCTAGTATCTGAGACCTGAATTGAACCCATGTCTTCCTGACTAAGTGGCACAGTGGATAAAGCACTAAGCTTGAAATCAGAAATACTCATCTTTATGAGTTCAAATCTGGTCTCACTTGCTAGTTCATTTACTTGCCCAAGTTCCTCATCTGTAAAATGAGTTGGAGAAGGAAATGGTAAACTGCTCCAGTATCTTTGCTAACAAAACCCCATAATGGGGTCACAGAGAATTGGACATGACTGAAACAACTCACCAAGAACAACTTCCTGACTCCAGGCTCAGTGCTCTAGCCATTGAACCACCAGCTGCTTCTATAAGCAATTTGGGCAAGTCCCTTTTCAGTGGGGAATTTGGAGAGAATCTCTACCTCAACATCAGTTATTAAAAAGAAGTGTTTATTTTCCCCTCTGAAGAGCTCCGAGTGTTTTTTCCTGTGGTAATACTAAATGAGCTGGGCTAAGTTCTTCTCTGAAGCAGTGGGCACAAAATAAAGCAGAATGCCTCATTCTAAGACATGCCTTCTTCTTTCTGACCCACCCCAACCGAATCCCAACAGCATAGAAAGACCATCCTGTTCATCCCCCAAGATGAGAGTTAAAGGAAGTTCCATGGCCTGCCAACATCAGGCAGATGGAACCACATGCCTCACCAACCAGAAGCACTGTAACATGTACCAGAAAACAAAATAGGCACTCTGTACAATAGACATCAGTGAAGAAAGAGATCTGATCTATCTAGTTTCCAGGACCTTGTTATCTAGAATTGTAGACAAAGTCACAACTTCGTGTTTTCCAAAAATGCATGGAAACATCAAGAATTATTACATGGAAGAACAGGATATAACTCTTCTCAAGAAATGAAATAAATTTGAGTAGCCAGTCTCTAGAAGACAGATGGTACATCTCTTACCTCTACATACTCTGAGGGGCAAGGGCAGGAATTTTCTGACTTGCCAGTAATTAATTCTTGTAGAGGGAGGCACAAAGCATAATCCATTGAGTGAGACTCTTCTCTCTGAAAAGAAAAAGATGAGAAAAATGGACCAATTTAGTATTATAAGGAACCAATAAGGAAGCATACAACTAATGTCACCAGAGTAAAACAATACATTTATAGCCATTTGAAAGCTAATTTGAGCTCCATTGATCTAATTCTTTCAATTGCATGAAAACAGGGAGTAAGAAGACCTTACTTCTAATTTAGTCCTGCCACCCAGCTCCCTGTGTATGTACTCTTTTCTTTTCTTTTCTTTTCTTTTCTTTTCTTTTCTTTTCTTTTCTTTTCTTTTCTTTTGTATTTTGCTAGGCAATGGGGTTAAGTGACTTGCCCAGGGTCACACAGCTAGTGAGTGTTAAGTGTTTGAGGCTGGATTTGAACTCAGGTCCTCCTGACTCCAGGGCTGGTGCTCTATCCACTGTGCCACCTAGCAGCAAGTGCGTACTCTTGAATAAGCAGCTTCATGTCCCTGTGTTTCACTTTCTGCCTTTGTAAATGAGGGAGAGGGACTAGATCAGGAATTCTGCCTGGGGTCCATGAATAGATAGATAGATAGATAGATAGATAGATAGATAGATAGATAGATAGATAGATAGATATAAAGATATACATATATATTCATATATACATATATGAGTGTGCATGTGTGTATGCATAAATGCATGTGTATGTGTCTATACGCACCTGTATGTATATGTATGTGTTTGCATGTGTATATATGCAATATGTGCCCATACATGCATATTTAACATATACACACTTTACATATATATAAAAATTTGTTTTCCTTTGTAATCCTATGTATTTAATTTTATGCATTCAAAAACATTATTCTGAGGAGACCAGAGGCTTCATCAGACTGCCAAACACACAAAAAAGATGAATAACTCCTGGATAATATGGTCTCTAAGGTCCTGCCTACCTCTAAAACCCCATCAAATTGTGAATAGTAGGATTTTCAGAGTGAGAGCTCTGTGTTGTGGAGAGCTACCACTTCACTTGTGAACTATCCATCATAACTAGCACTAAAGAAAATATATCTGTTTTTAATTCGTTTCCTACCTTCCTAACTGCAGCCACCACTTGCTCACATTGCAATGGCTCATTATGACCTGTCAATCAATCAGTCAACAAGAATTTATTAATTCCTGTATTATGTACCAGGCACTGTCCTAGGTGCTAGAGATTCAAACACAGAAAATGAAAGAATCCCAACTCTCAGGGTGCTGACAGAATCAGATCAAGGCCTACATTTCTCAGTTTGTCAGTCAGAATTCTCAATCAATTGGTCTCACTTTAACTGTACAATTGTATGTATCACTACTTCCTAACACATTTTCTTTCCAATAAGTCTGTTTTCATTACTATAATCCCTTCCATATTCACGCTCACCCCCATCCCCTACTTCATTCTCCCTACACACACACACACACACACACACACACACACACACACACACACACCATGATCACTGCTGTGGTTTTGTGTGTGGGAATACAACCTCATAGAATTAGAGAATGTCAAGGCCAAAAAGAACCTCGAGGATCAGCTCTGCCAGGAGCTCTTAACCTTTCTCGTGTCACAGACCGATTTGGCAGTTCTGTAAAGCCTATGTGGACGATTCTCAGAGAAATGTTTTTAAAAGCATGAAATAAAGAACAAAGGATTACAAAGGAAATCACACACTGAAATACAGTTATCTATCTATCTATGTCTATTTCTCTATATGTATAAATTTATAATATATATAAATATATATACATATATATATATATATATATGTATATATTAAACTGAGTTGTTTGACCCCAGGTTAAGAACTCCCAATTGGTTTCAGCTACCTCATTTAATAGAATAACAAATCAAGACCCAGAAGAGACTCATTACTCTAGGATGTTCTAGGGTTACCTCACTGCTCAGTATAGAAGTGACCTCTGAATCCATGCTTCTCTGGTACATCTGACTATATCAACCATCAGAGATTTACAATTTCAGTCAATCCTCATGGAGAGCAACAGTTTCGACTTAGTATATGGAGAAGCATACCTTAGTTGCAAGATGGATTGTAATTAATTCATTTGCTGCAAAATATATTTCTTAGAGATCAAGTAAGAGGATAAGATGGAAATAATTAAATTGGGCAAATTTCAGTAGTATAGTTTCCATAAAACACCCCCTTCATCACTGTCACAATAGGAGAATTGTTCCTACCTTGGGTACCAAGCATATTTTCTGATTGTGTCCTATTCCTTCTTTTCCCCCTCTTACCTTTTTTTATTGCTTTAACCTGGCAGTACTGAAATAAATCTATAACATATCTGATTGGTCTGATTTTCTTTGCCAGCTGCTAGAATATCTTTGTTATACTGTTCTAAGAAATTCATATGTGCTAAACAAGATTTTTTTTATTTCTGGCACTGGTATCCAAGCAATTTTTCAAGTAATCAAATGAAAGAACTGCAAGAAAATATCCTTTCCTCTGTCCTCCTCATCTACTTTGCCCTCATAGACATAATTTGTGAAGGTAGCTAAGGGTAATGGAAAGTCCTCAGGACTTAGAATCAGAAGGTTTTGGTTCTAATCCTGATTCTGCTACTCACTTATTAGTTGGATGACCTTGGGCAATCTCTTTGAGTTATGGTCTCCTCACCTGTAAAATTTATATAATAATTCTTTTTCTTCTTCCTTATATCATTTTAAGGAGGATATGAGGCAATGCCTGGAGAGTACTTTGTTAGAAAGTACTATACAAATGAAAGTAATTAGGATTTTATCTTTGTTGCAATACGTGGCTTGTGTATGGACCATAGAACATAAGATTTAGAACTGGAAGAAATAATAGAGGTTATCTAGTTCAGGGCTTCTAAAACTTTCCACTCATGACCCCTTCAACACTTCTTGAACTGTGGGTCGTGACCCCAGATAGGTTCACAACCCACAGTTTAACAGACTCATTTTATTGAAGAGGGAACGGAGTCCCAGGGAGATTTGGCATAGTGGATAAAGCACAGGACTTGGAAGCAAGAAGATTTGAATTTGAATTCTCCTTCATCACTTAGTAGCTGTATGGCTCTGGGCAAGTTATTTCTATTTGCCTCAGTTTCCTCATCTGTAAAATGGAGATAATAATAGCCCCTACTTTACAGGGTTGTTATGAAGATCAAATGAATAGATAGAGAGAAGATGTAGAGATAGATAGATATAGATATATGTATATATGTGTATATATATGTATATATATATGTGTGTGTATATATTATATACATACACACACACACACATGTTTACAGCACTTTGTAAACCTTAAAGCACTAAATAAGTGCCAGCTATTATTATTATTTATTGTCTAAGGTCATACAGGTAGTAAGTGACAAAGGTAAGATTTAAACCGTAGTCTGATTTACAAGTCATTGCTCTTTCCACTGTATCACCTTGATGTTGTAATTATATAGGTTGTTTTCCAGATTCTGTTGAGTTCACTTTGTGTCAGTCCATATAGATTTTCCCATGCTTTTTATATTCATCATATCCATTTCTCTTATAATACAATAATATTACATTATATTAACATACCACAACTTTTTCTCCAACTGATGGATCTTTACCTTATTTCTAGTTTTTTTTCTAATTCAAAAAGTGCTCCTTTATTACAGCAACTTATCACAAGAATAACATACTATAACCAGGTAGAATTTATACCAGGAATGCAGGGCTGGTTCAATATTAGGAAAACTATCAGCAGAATTGACCATATGAATAATAAAACAAACAGAAATTATATGATTATCCCAATAGATGCAGAAAAAGCTTTTGACAAAATACAACACCCATTCCTACTGAAAACACTAGAGAGTATAGGAATAAATGGAATCTTCCTTAAAATGGTAAGTAGCATCTACATAAAACCATCAGCAACCATTATATGCAATGGGGATAAGCTAGAAGCATTTCCAAGAAAATTGGTGGTGAAACAAGGATGTTCATTATCAGCACTGTTATTCAGTATGGTACAAGAAACATCAGTAGCAATAAGAGAAGAAAAAGAAATGGAAGGAATTAGAATAGGCAAAGAAGAAACAAAGCTATCACTTTGTAGATGATATGATGATATACTTAGAAAAACTACTTGAAATAATAAACAACTTCAGCAAAGTTGCAGAATAGAAAATAAACCCACATAAATCATTGGCATTTCTTTATATTACTAACAAAGCCCAACAGCAAGAGATAAGAAGAGAAATTCCATTTAAAGTTACTGAAGACATTATAAAATATTTGGGAGCCTACCTGCCAAATTCTACCTGCCAAAACAAACCCAAGAACCAAATGAACACAATTACAAAACACTTTTCCCACAAATAAAGTCAAATCTAAATAACTGGAAAAACACCAGTTGCTCATGGGTAGGCCAAGATAATATAATACAAATGACAATTCTACCTAACTTAATTTACTTATTCAGTGCCATACCAATCAAACTACCAAAAATTATTTTATAGAGCTAGAAAAAATAATAACAAAATTCATCTGGTACAACAAAAGGTCCAGAATATCAAAAGAACTGATGAAAAGAAATGCAAGGGAAGATGGCCTAGCCATAGCAGATTTTAAATTGTATTATAAAGCAGCAATCATCAGAACTACTTGGTAAAAACTCAAAGGCCTAAGAAGTTATTGTTCATAATTCAAAATAAATTAATTGAAAAATTGAAAAAAAAAGAAATAGAGTGGTGGATCAGTGGATTAGGCTAGGTACACTAGACACTGCAATCAATGACTATAGTAATCTACTGTTTGATAAACCCAAAGACTCCAACACCTGGGATAATAATTCACTATTTGACAAATACTGCTGGGAAAACTGGAAAACAGTGTAGTAGAAATTAGGCATAGATCAACATCTTACACCATATACTAAGATAAGATCAAAATGGGTACATGATTTAGATATAAAGGCTGATACTATAAGCAAACTGAGAGAGCAAGGAATAGCTTACATGTCAGATTTATGGAGAATGGAAGAATTTATAACCAAACAATAGACAGAGAACATTATGAACTGCTAAATGGATAATTTTACATTAAATTAAATTGAAAAGTTTTTGCACCAACAAAGCCAATGAAACCAAAATTAGGAGGGAAGCAGAAAGCTGGGAAAGAATTTTTACAACCAGTATCTCTGATAAAGGCCTCATTTCTCAAATATATAGAGAACTGAGTCAAATTTGTAAGAATACAAGTCATTCTCCAATTGGCAAATGGTCAAAGGATATGAATAGGCAGTTTTCAGATGAGGAAATTAGAGCTATCTATAGCCATATGAAAAAATGCTCTAAATCACTATTGGTTAGAGAAATACAAATCAATATAACTCTTAGGTACCACATCACACTAACAGATTGGCTAACATGACAAAACAGGAAAATGATAAATGCTAGAGAATATGTGGGGGAAATTGGAACACGAATGCATTGTTGGTAGAGTTGTGAACTAATCTGACCAGTGGAGAACAATTTGCTACTATGCCCAAAGGACTATAAAATTGTGCATACCCTTTGATTCAGCAACACAAATTCTAGGTTTGTATCACAAAAAGATCATACAAATGGTAAAAGGACTCACATGTACAAAAGTATTTATAGCAGCTCTTTTTGTGGTGGCAAAGAATTGGAAATTGAGGGGATGACCATCAGTTGGGGAATAGCTGAACAAGTTGTGGTAGAATGTAGTGGAATACTATTGTGCTATAAGAAATGATGAGCAGGCAGACTGCAGAAAACCTGGAAAGACTTATATGAACTGATGCTGAGTGAAGTGAGTAGAAGCAGGAGAACACTGTACACAGTAATAGCTGCAATGTGCGATGACTAACTTTGATAGATATATCTCTTTTTAGCAATGCAAGGATCAAAGACAACTCCAAAGGACTCATGATGAAAAATGCTGTCCACATCCAGAAAAAGAACTATGGAGTGTGAATGCAGATTGAAAGATATTATTAGCTCTCTCTCTTTTCTTTCTTTTTTTTTGTTTGTTTCTTCTTTCTTGTGGTTTCTCCCATTGGTTCTAATTCTTCTTTACAACGCAACTAATGTAAAAATAGGTTCAATATGAATGCATATGTAGAGCTTATATCAAATTGCATGCCATCTTGGAGTGGGGGGAGGGGAGAGACGGGGAGAAAATTTGAGATTCAAAATCTTATGGAAGGGCATATTGAAAACTAAGTGCTCCTTTTAATATTTTGGTACAGTAAATGTTTATTGATTCCTACATGGATCCTTTTTTAAAAATCATTGACTTCCTTTAGGTTTATGCCTAGTCATGGAATCTCTGGGTCAAAAAGTAAAACATTTCTGTCACTTCCTTTACAAACAATTTCCCAAAGGGAGGGAAAAATCCTTGGGTTAAAATACGTGTGTGTGTGTGTGTGTGTGTGTGTGTGTGTGTGTGCATGTGTGTGTGTGTGTGCATGCGTGTATGTGTGTGTGTGTGTGTGTGTGTGTGTGTGTGTGTGTGTGTGTATAAAAAGGCCATGTCCTATGGAATTAAGTTCAAATTTGGCTTCGGGTTTGTTTTTTATCATCACAGATCGAAATGCAGGCAAACTTATTAAATCTCAGAGGATGAGAGTGTTTTAAATGAAGCAGGAGTATTTTTAGTACCACTGTCTTCAAATTCAATACTCCTGACTCTTTGGAGTTGGGTGGTGGAGTGGGGAAGAAGAGAAGAGTAAAGCAGGAAGATAATCCTTAACACTCAAAAACCCTAAAATTTATACTATAGGATTTAATTTTTCTTCATCTCTTTCTGTCTCTTCAAACCCAAAGCCTTTGCCATTCAAAATATATGCTCTTTTAAAATTTTCATGAGTAAATCAGAGATAGCACTGTTCCCTGAATAGGGCATTACATGGGAACTGGAGAAAATTTCATTATGCTGTATGCTATGTCACAGATTTGTTTGCTTGAAAAATTTAAGAAATGGATTTTTAATGTTTTTTTAAAATGTTAAAGAGTTCCCAGGGTCTTACCTGCACTAGGTCACTTCTTGTGGCAATCTCCAATAAAATGATGGCATAGCTACAAAACGGTACAAATGTCATTTTAATATGAAAACTCTGGTCCTACACACAAATACATTGTAAAGAATTCACACAGGTTACTTGCCTTTTGTCCAAATAAAGAATTTTCATGGAAAACATTTTTCAGATAAGTTCTACTATTCTCCAATGAATAAATTTTCCAGATTAAAAAACAAACAAACAAAACCTTCTATGGGGCTACTCTTTCACAGAACACAATTAAAATTTGTCCTCAAATTAAAATACATATTATATATATGCCACTACTAAAGATAAACTTGGGGGCAATTTCTGGGATCAAAGAACGAAATGTATTAGCAAATTAATTCACTAATTGTATTTCTAATATAAAATAAAATAATTAAAGTAAGAATCTTATATAGGATTTAGGATTGGAAAGGACCTTAATGATAATCTAGTCTAGCCTTTTTCATTTATTACAGTGTTTTGAAGACTATTAGAGAATAGGCTTGAACTCACAGGTATATACCACTTTTATTTCTTACCAATGACTGGATAGTAGGTCAATATTTTTATACAAAGAATTATAATGACATGTAGGTTCTCACCTAAGCAAACAAGAAATAATAATAGCTGATATTTACATACCTGTTTTAAGGTTTGCAAAACATTTTAAATACAGTATGTCATTTGAGCCTCACAACAACCCTGAGGTAAGTGCCATCATCCTCATCATTGTCTTCATCATCATCATCCCCATTTTGGGGATGAGAAATCAGAGAGGTCAAGTGCCTTGCCCACAGTCACAGTCAAATCAATATCAGAATCAAGTTAAGTATAATACTTACTCAATAAATACTTGTAAGTACTCATAAGTAAGTAAGCACTTACTCAAGTAAGTCTTTGGGACTTATACCTAGGGCTTCATGATTCTGAGACTCTCTCTCTCTCTCTCTCTCTCTCTCTCTCTCTCTCTCTCTCTCACACACACACACACACACACACACACACACACACACACACACACCCTATGCCTTTTTATATATGTGAACTTGATCTTTGACTCTACACTGGACTTTTTGTTCTAGTCTAGCCAGTCCCTAGATGCCTCCAAATTTACAACCCCTTCATTCTTCCTGGTTCTTTTATTTGGAAAGCCCTTTCCCATTCCTGTCTACCAAATTTACACCTTGTCAGTCCAGGCCTTCTCAAGCACTCCCTTCTCTGTAAAAGCCTTCCCTGACATCTGCAGCCCACAATGAACCAGTTTCCTCTTTGTGATCTTCAATAATCTCTACTGTCTATATCATAAATCTTAGCCTTAAAATATTTTCTTTTTTCCCTAATGGCATCCCATATGTCATGTATGTTAATCTTGCCTGTGTAACCAAAATAAATCTTGAAATACAGGCTTTTTTATGCTTGTCTTAATTCTTCTTTTTCTTTTTTTAAAATTTTTATTAAATTATTCATTTTTAGTTTTCAACATTAATTTCCACAAGACTTTGAGTTCCAAATTTTCTCCCCATCTCACCCCTTCCCTTATCCCAAGAAGGCATGCATTCTGAATACCTCTTCCCCTAATCTGCCCTCCCTTCTATCATCCCCCCTTCTCTTATCTCCTTCCCCTTCTATTTTCCTGTGGGGCAGGATAGTTCTCTACCCCATCGCCTGTATATCTTATTTCCCAGTTGCGTGTAAAAACAATTTTTAACATTTGTTTTTAAAACTTTGGGTTCCAAATTCTTTCCCTTCATCCCTCCCTACTTTTCCTCATTGAGAAGGCAAGCAACTCAATACAGGCTATACATGTGTAGACATGCAACACTTCCATAGTAGTCATGTTGTGAAAGACTAACTACATTTCCTTTCATCCTATCTCCCCCCTCACCCCCCGTTTATTCTATTCTCTCTTTTGACCCTGTTCCTCCTCAGAAGTGTTTGCTTCTGATTACCCCCTCCCTCAATCTGCCCTTTCTTCTATCATCCCTCTGCTCTCTTATCCCTTTCCCCCCTATTTTCCTGTAGGGTAAGATAGATTTCCATATCCAGTTGAGTGTGTATGTTATTCCCTCCTTATACCAAATCCAGTGTGAATAAGATTCACTCATTCCCTCTCACCTTCCCCCACTTCCCCTCCACTGTAAAAGCTTTTTCTTGTCTATTTTATGTGAGATAATTTACCCCATTCTACCTCTCCCTTTGTCCTTCTCCCAGTATAATCCTCTCTCACCCCTTAATTTTATTTTTTAGATATCACCTCTTCATTTTCAACTCACTCTGTGCCCTCTATCTATCTACCTAGCTATACATATATTTTTTTCCTCCAACTACCCTAGTACTGAAAAAGGTCTCATGAGTTACAAATATCATCTTTCCATGTAGGAATGTAAACAGTTCAACTTTAATAAGTCCCTTATGATTTCTCTTTCCTCTTTACCTTTTCGTGCTTCTCTTGAGTCTTGTATTTGAAAATCAAATTTTCTGTTCAGCTCTAGTCTTTTTATCAAGAATGTTTGAAAGTCCTCTATTTCATTGAATATCCATTTTTTTGCCCTGAAGGATTATACTCAGTTTCGCTGGGTGATTCTTGATTGTAATCCTATCTACTTTGGCCTCCAGAATATCATATTCCAAGCCCTGCAGTCCCTTAATGTAGAAGCTGTTAAATCTTGTGTTATCCTGATTGTGTTTCCACAATACATGAATTGTTTGTTTCTGACTGCTTGCAATATTTTCTCCTTGACCTGGGAACTCTGGAATTTGGCTACAATATTCCTAGGAGTTTTCCTTTGGGGATCTCTTTCAGGCTGGACTCTTTCAATCTCTATTTTACCCTCTGGTTCTAGAATATCAGGGCAGCTTTCCTTGATAATTTCTTAAAAGATGATGTCTAGGCTCTTTTTTTTGATCATGGCTTTCGGGTACTCCATTCATTTTTAAATTATCTCTCCTAGCTCTATTTTTCTAGGTCAGTTGTTTTTCCAATGAGATATTTCACATTGTCTTTTATTTTTTTCATTCTTTTGGTTTTGTTTTACAATTTCTTGATTTCTCATAAAGTCACAAACTTTAATTTTGCTCCATTCTAATTTGTAAGGAAGTATTTTCTTCAGTGAGCTTTTGGACTTCCTTTTCCATTTGGCCAATTCTGCTTTTTAAGGTATTCATCTCCTTATTGGCTTTTTTGACCTCTTTTGCCATTTAGGTTAGTCTATTTTTTAAGGTGTTATTTTCTTCAGTATTTTTGGGGGGTCTCCTTTAGCAAACTGTTGACTTGTTTTTCATGATTTTCTTGCATCGCCCTCATTTCTCTTCCCAGTTTTTCCTCTATTTCTCTTACTTGCTTCTCAAAATCCTTTTTGAGCTCTTCCATGGCTGGGACTGATTCATATTTTTCTTGGAGGCTTTGGATGTAGGAGCTTTGACTCTGTTGTCTTCTTCTAGTTGTATGTTTTGATCTTCTTTATCACCAAAGTAATATTCTATGGTCTGACTTTTTTTGAGCTGTTTGCTCATGATCCCAACCAATTACTTGAGTTTTAAACTCTTTGTTAAGGTAAGGGTCTGCTTCCAGTGTAGAGAATGTACTGTCCCAATCTTCGGGGATTTTGTGGAGATGTTTGCAGAGATACTTCTAGGGACCTGTAAATTTTCAGTTCTTCCAAGGTGGTATGATCAAGGGTGAAGTGTTTACTTCTTTCCTGGCCTGGGCTGTGGTCTATGAGTGACCACAAGCACTCTTTTTTACCTTGAAACTGTCAGGGGGGTTCCCTCTTTACTGCTGCCGCAAGCTCCTCCATGCTACCACTCCTCCTTGCCCCAGGACCGCCACTCAGAATCGTGACCCAGATCCAAGCATCAACAAAGCGAGGGAATCCTGCCTCAGCACCAGCAGAGAGATCCCTGCAATTCCCTTCTGATCAGCCACTAGATCCTCCCTCTGTCTGTGGACTGAGAGCTTCTGAAGCAGCTGCCACACCTGGGGCTATACTGGGACCGGGGCTGGGACCAAGCTCTTGTCTCTCACTGTGGTGAGACAGCTCCTTCCTACTGACCTTCTAAGTTGTCTGTGGTGTTTGTGGGTTGAGAAGTCTTGAAACTGCCACAGCTTCCCTTGATTCAATCCCCTGAGGACTGCTCAAGATTCACTGAGGCCTGGTCTTTGCCTGCATGGCCCACGCTAAACTGCACTCCTCTCCCAGCCTGGCACAACAGACCTTTCCAATCAACCATCCAGGTTGTCTTGGGCTGGAAATTTGTTTCACTCTGTCTTTTTGTGGGTTCTGTTGCTCTAGAATTTGTTTAGAGCCATTTTTTACAGGTTTTTGGATGAGTTTGGGAGAGAGCTTAATCAGGTCACTGCTTTTACCACTGAAAAGAATTATGGAGGTCATTCATTCCAACACCTTCACTTTACAAATGAAGAATTTGTGACCCAGAGAGGTTAAGTAACTTGTGGAAGGTCATATAGGTAAGAAATGTCAGAGCCAGTATTCAGCCCAAGTCCTCTGACTGTAAATCCATTACTCTTTCCACTGAACCACGTTGCCTCCCTGAAAATATTGAAAATATTTTGTTCTGTTTTATCTGTCTTCATTATTGCTTAACTGTACCCTTCTTAGCCTTTTCCTTCTTTATTCCATTACTGTGTTTCAAAAAGAGCCCTATTCCTTTTACCTATCTCGCCACTACAAGTTCTCCACTGGGCTTTGGGCTTATTCTCTAGTTTTTATCTAGCAAAAACCTCATCTCCTCTTTCAGTAAGTATGGCACCACTTACAGAAAGGAAGACACAACATTTCTGTATTTCTCTTCAACGCTCTGTGATAAGATTACTTCTTATTTTCTCTCCCCATCTAGAAAGATTTGAACTGTCTTGGTTTCTAGAAGAGGATATTTTTCTCACTTGGTGTAATAGGTGAAAAGTCTCTAATTTCCCCCCTTTCAGGGTGCTATCAGTCAGAGACCTTGTTTTACTTGAATCTGTGTACAATACTAAGGTCAATGTCAGGACTAAAGGCAATTACACCATTAAGTCCCCTCCTTCCCCTCCTCTACCCTTCCCTCATACACATACTGGGGCAGGCCTACACAACCTGTGGTCACAGACTGTTGGGCAGCCGACAAAAAAAAGGAAAGGAAAACATCTACATTTTTCACTAGCCACCCAAAATCCTTTGGCAGGCCACAGGTAGTGCAGGCCTGCACTAGGGAAAGAACTCGACATTGGAAAACTTGGGAAACTTTTGGCCCTAATTCCAGAAGAACTCTTTTCCACCCTGAAGACAGAAACACAATCCCTAGAACCTACTTCTGAGAAGTTTTCGAACACATTGGTCAAAGACTTCGTACTTCTTGTTCTTCAGTCATTTTTCAGTCATGTCTGATTCTTTGTGACCCTATTTGCCATTTCCTTCTGCAGCTCCTTTTACAGATAAGAAATGAGGCAAACAGGATTAAGGGACTTACCCAGGGTCACATAGCTTGTAAATGTCTGAGGCCAAATTTGAATTCAGGAAGATGAGTCTTCTTGACTTTAGGCCTGGCACTCTATCCACTGTGCCACCTACCTCTCCCTTGGCTAACCAGATGTCTATAAAACTAGGCTACCATGCCTTTCAGTGGACGGCATAAATTTCTGCAGCATAAATTTTTCATCTTAGACTTTGTTTTTGAAGTTTGCTGTCAGTAAATCATCTTTTTTGAACTATAGGAAAGCAGTTAAACATGGAAAAAATAGAGGTTTTTAGAAATATAAATGTGTAGTTAGAAATTTGGAAAGTTTCAGAAAGCAAACCATTTTCTTATAGTTGAGGGGCACACACCTGCCTTACAGTCTAGACCACAATATTTTGTTCTCAGGCCCCAGTGAGTTGTCTTTTTCAAGAGGCAAAAGCAGGTAAAGAGAATTGATGCACAACCAAGGCATTCTGCTATAACGTGGTTGCAGCATATCTAAATTGCCAAGGCAACTCTTTTGAAAGTTGGATATTCTGCTTAAGAGCTAGGTGTCACAGTGGACAGAGCTCTGGACCTAGAGCCAAGAAAACCTGAGCTCAAATCCAGCCTCAGACACTTACTAGCTATGTGACCCTGGGTATATTCCTTAACCCTGCTTGCCTTAGTTCCCTCATCTGTAAAACGAACTGGAGAAGGAAATGGCAAACAAATAACATCTTGCTAAGAAAATCTCAAATGGGTTCATGAAGAATCAGACACAACTAAAAAACAATAAACATTATGTATGAAATTTGGGTAGCTGCCACCTAGTGAATCTGGCTTTAGGTGAATTACTTCTGGCATAGGTAACCACAAGAAAGCAGGAATAAAACTTTGCATATAGGAGATTCTTAGTAAATGGCTGTTGAATGATTGTCCTAGGTGCTTTATGTGTATAGCAGGTGCATCACAACATAGCAGTAGCAAACAGGCAAGGCTCAGTATGAATGTGCCCATTGTAGTGAGAATAAGTTTTATTACCTTAATAAGATACTAAGAATAAGTTAGTCAGCTTAGGATAAGTAACTCCATTTTGTCTTAATCCCCTATTTTGTGATTGAGTTGTTTTGGGGGTAAGTTGTTTTTTTTTTCTGTAAAATATTTTTCAATAATGAAATAAGAGCTTGAGTAGTATGATGCAGCAAACAACATGTGTATATTCTTAAATAACAGATAGACATATGTGGACCTTCTGATAAGAAAGACCACCAATATAAATATATTACAAACAACTTTTCAGTAATTTATGTAACAAACTACCAATCAAATTATATCATATAAACAACTTTACAACACCCCTAGCTAGAACCATAAAAAATGCACTGGAAACTCCAGGCATCAACCTGTTCCTATGGCTCAACCAGGATTAGCTACCACATTTCCCATGTTAGACTGAAACAGCCAGAGTTCTTTTGTGGGCAGTGCTGACTGACAGACACTTACCTAATGACCACCTCAGAGGGAGACACATGGCCTGTGGCTGGGCAGAGAAGGAACCTTGTCAAAGTCTAGTATAAATATCTCTCAGAACCTCTAAGAATCAGGCTGTTAGTGGATATTGTTTGCATAACTTGATTGCATATATTAGAGGTATATTTTAATTAGTGTTTCTGTCCACCAGTTAGCATAAATAAAGGTAATTTGGTTATGTGAGCACACCCTGTTTTATGCCCATACGCAGGCAAAGCAACATGAGCACTGAGGATTAGAAAAGAGAGAACAAAGAGGATACAACAGAGAATAGGTAAAACCAACCTACTTATTCTCTTCTATCATTGGCCCTTGAAGGGAGATTAATAGCCAGGCAAACCTAGCTCTCTTTGGGGAAAATAATATTCTGTGTGTCATTATTCAAAGGACTGAGGTATAGAACAATGTGCACACTCTATCCAAAATGAAGGTGACCATCACAGAGAGAGAAGAAAGTTAGAGTGACTAGAGCTATGAGAGCACCCAGTATCTCTTGCATTGATCATCACAGTGTAAGCAACAACAATTAATTGTTAAGGAAGTACTTTTTCTCAGCTCCTGAATGGGAGTCACTGAGAGCTATATTTCTGATATTTTGCCCTTCTACTGTTTAGGTGACTTGGATATGACCTGGGATTCAGATTATTAATACGATTATACTTTCTTTTGCTACCTTGATTATATTCTTTCTAAAGTAATGAGACCTACTGAAAAGAATCATACTTTAGCAAGTAGGTAGGGGCTGGTGCTAAGTTTAATTGATAGATATATTCCTTGGCACAGAGTTTAAGAACGACAGCATAAACACTCCCTCACTCTCCCCCACTCCTGCAACTATCAAGTGATTAATAACCTTGCGGCTACTAATGTGCAGGAACAGGCTAGATGATACTTATAATGCCTTCGTAGTAAGAGGCAAAAATATTACAAACAACTTTATCAGTAATTTATGTAGCAAATTAACAATCAAATTATATCATAAACATATTGTTAAAAAACAAAAAATAAATATGATTAATGTACAATATTTTTACAAACAATATTATACTTACTTTATAGAAGATTTTAAAGAAATAGAAACATCTAGGTATAATTTAACTTACCACCTTCTACTAAATTTGAAGGGCAACTAATTATTGTATAACTTTTTCCTTTGAGATGAAAATTTTAAATGTTTCTCACTAATACTTTGAGTGTTCGAATGGCATCTGTCTTCTCTCTCTACCTAGTTTCTGGCTATTTCATCCACTTTAACCCACTTTGATCTGCTCTATCTATTTTGTGGAATAAGGGGCATCAGAGTAGTATCAATATCCTTAGCTATCTATCATGTTTACAACTTATAAGAGACAAAAAGTTAATGACCTTCATTGTTAAGACATTCTATAAATCCAGTTACTCCAGAGAGGTGCCTTTTTTTATGTAATACCAAGCTTTCTATGAATTTGGGGTTTTTTTTATATTCCTCCAATCTATCACAGGTACTATTTTTCACTTGTGCACAAACATGTCACAGGATCATCAATGAGTTTACATCTAAGCTTGCAATGTCCTTTTTCCAATAACGAAAAGATTTCATTGGCCAACATACTTCTTTTTCAGTTTTTGTCCCCCACCTGCTTAAAAACTCCCCTTTCCAACAGTGTGTATTTCATTTTGTTATGGGGGGGCAGCTAAGTGACACAGTGGATAGAGCACTGGTCCTGGAGTCAGGAGGACCTAAGTTCAAATCCAGCCTCAGACATTTGACACTTAACTAGCTATATGACCCTGGGCAAGTCACTTAACTCCATTTCCTAGCAAAAAATATATATTTTTTTTCTCTACAGCAAAAGACAACAATATGAAATGAATCTTGCATTATAATAATGTACCTGATATCATACTATCAAGCAAATGCTCTCAATCTTCCCTGTTTTTGTACAAAATGTGAGGCTTTCTCTAGAAGCAGAATGAATGTATTAGTAACGGGCATATTAAATTATGGAAGACTTGGGTTCACTTGCTGACTTGGACACTATCTGTCTGTCCATGAACAAGTCACTTAACTTTTTTCAAACTCAGTTTCCTTACTTCTGACAGGCTAATAATGGCACTTGCTTCACGGAGTTCTTGAGAGGATCAAATGAGCTAACATATGTACATAGTTCTTTGTAAGGTTAAAAAAATAAAAAAGCACTGCCTGCCAAAGCAATCACACTGAGATCTGTATGTGTAGCTTCCCTTAGAGGCTTAAAATGGTGGATTCCAGAATATCAAAGAAACTTCTGTCCAAATATGGTCCTTGATACATAGTTCGTCAGAAGAGGCCATGGATCACCTGTATACATCTCCCAGTGCAGATGGTTCCCAGTTTGGCACTAACTGAGCTTCTGGAGCCAGATACATTTGCCTCAGGTGCTGTTGATATGAATTAAAACCTTCAGACATATTTTCCTCTCGGTATGATTTTAATCCAAAGTCTACCATTAAGGAAAGAAAGAAGTACTTAATTAGGATTCATGTAATCGTACAATTGCATATTATCACATTAATGTCATAACAATCAATCTAAAATGATGGCGATTTAGATGTCTATGGTACATAAAAATCTTAATGTCAAAAACAACCTAAGAGCACGTAGAGTACCCTAGCTGTTAAGGAAGTACTAATGTAACAAATAATGAATGCACTCAAACTGCAGTCTAAGAAAATTGTTTCTGTGGTCCATGGAATAAATACGTTATGATGTGGAATAAAGGGAAGAAAGGAGGTGAAAGAAGTGCTCCATTCCTCCCCCCCTTTGTAGAAGTGAGGGGTTTATGGGTGTGAAACACTGAACATACTGTCGGTAAACATACTGAGTAGTTAATAGTTTTGTTAGTTTTGCTAAATTGATTGTTTGTTGTTACAAGAGATGGCTTGCAAGGTGGGAGATTGGAAAGAGAAAGAGATTTAAGAATTAAGGTAGTATAAAAACAAAAGATAGGGGAAAGGATAGAAATAGAACCTGTCCTCATTTTTATTGTCATAGGAAAATCCCAAGTGAGGAAACCCCCCCTGCAGGTCAGCACCTTCTCTGCAAAGTAAATGGCCCGTTACCATTCCTAAAGCAGGGAAGTATCTGACTAAAAGATATAATTTCTCAGATTTTCTCTAGATTATTTAAATGTAGACTTTCTGCATTGCAGATTCCTCACAACCAGGTCTTAGATTATTGACAGGAGGTCTGAGTGAGGAAAGATCAGGACCAGTGTGTCTATATTAAAGAATGCATTCAAAACATACATAAAAATACTTTTGAATCATCCCTTGTTTGTTTATATTTTTTCTCTCTTTTATTAAAATTACTAAAAAATATGTGCATACATGATATATACTATATATAAAATTACTATATACAGTAACTAATAAAAATATGTGTATATGTATATACATTAAATATATACATGATTATATATTATCTTTCCACATACAACAATGTCAGACTAAAAGCTTCTGTCAGCATAATTTGCTGAAACCCATTAACATAGTTCTCCAAGAGACAAGGAGCCTGGAAATATCATTTCATTGTACTAATAAAGTTATCTTCCTATTAGGATCAGCTCAAGCACTTTACAATGCTTTTCCTCATCCACCCCGGTTGTTAGCACCCTTTTCCCCTTTATATTCATTTTGTGTGTGTGTGTGTGTGTGTAGATATGCATATGCATATACATATATATGTATATGTGTATACATATCTATATATCTATATATATCTATATGTAGATATATATCTATATAGATATAGATATAGATATAGACATAGACATAGACATAGACATAGACATAGACACAGACACAGACACAGACACAGACACAGACACAGACACAGACACAGACACAGACACAGACACAGACATAGATATAGATATAGATATAGATATAGATATAGATATAGATATAGATATAGATATATTTGTTTTCCTCCAGTAGAATATAAGCTTCATGAGGACAGGGAGTGGTTATTTTTTTCCCTTTATATCCCCACTGCCTAGCATATAGTATACTTAATAAATGCTTTTGGAATGAACAAATGAGACTCAGTGAAGAAGGCTTACTAAATTCCCAGGTTAGGTTTGATGCTTCCAGAGTGTATAGGTGAGTTTATGTTATTACCAAAAGAATGTTCCCTATCATTCCCCTTTCCTCTTCCCTCCCCGTCATCTCCTCCAACTCTTTCAGCAGACTTCTCAGAAAATATGAGCAAGTTTAGCTGGTACAATTCAAAAGGGCAGTATTAGATCAAAATGGAATTCCCAGCTTCATAATCACTTTCTCTTCATACTATTAAATTCTGTGTATGGAGCAAGAGAAGTCACCAACACAGACTAACAGAGGCACACAGCCACACTCCTCCCATGCCACAATGAAGACATAGAAAAGGAAGGAAACCCAAGATTAATCAGTATATCTTACCACTCAATGCACGTGAGCGTATTCCAGTCTCTACCCAGCAAGCATTCATGCTGCATTATCTGCCCATGCCAGGTAGTATGCATTTCACTATGTCACCAAGTAATGTCTTAACTTTATATATATATCAGACTACTCACATATCAACCCAGCACTGGAACAATCCAATCACTCCTTTCTTCAGTTGCCCTCTCAACTCAGGGAACTTTCCCTCTGTGTAGGAACAATAGCACTTACTGTCTTTCTCTTTAGCTCTGCTCCCTAAATCTCAACAACATTCTGATCTCTTTAGGACACTTACTCCTTATTTCCTATCTCCTTCATAAATCACAATCACACATAAATCAGCTCTGTTCTTTGATTTCACTACCTACGAAATGGAAGTGGTGCCATAAGCTACATTCACCAACAAGAAGAATTCTTATTCTGTGTAGATCTCTGCATTATGCAGTGGGTGAGGTACAAATTTCAGATGGAAAACTTTCCTTCCCCTTAGGGGGTTTATTTGTTTGATAGGAAATTATCATGAGGTGGAAGCACTATAAGGATCAAACACATCAGGTTGAAGGATGGAAAATACTCAATTGACATGAAAAACACATCCCAAGCATTCGTTGGATCCCTTTACCTGAAATTTTGCACACCCATCGGTCATCTATCACACAGTTGGTAGACTTCAGACGTCCATGGAATATCTTGTGCTGATGGAGATAAGCCATTCCATGGGCAATGTCTGTAGCAAAAGAAAACCTGAAACACAAATAAGGGCCTGGAGTGATCACAGCATAAAACCATGGACCAGTCTCCAAAAGACAGCATTCAAGCAAAGTTATACAATAGAAACAAAGCTCGAAATCACAGAATCTTAGCCTTGGAAGGGGAACTGTTTCAACTTGGTTCCTGAACAGATATTCTCTCTATGAAATCTCCAATAAGTGATCATCTGACCCCTTCCAGACCACCACCCCAACCCCAAATCCCTATATGCCCAGATATTTGGATAATAATTATTTTAGTGTTGTTCTGATTTAATTCCCAACAAGGAGGTGGTCATAGCAATAACTTGGACAAATGGAGAAAGAGCTAGAGAGGAATAATAATTCGTGTGAATATTTTGCCAAACCCTACTTAATTTAACCTCCCACGTATGGTGGATGTGCACTAATTCACCTACTCTGTGAGATTGAAGAGGTTTGGGGGGGGAAAGGAAAATGTTGCCTAGCAACCTGGATCACAGCTGCTTCCAGTATAACTCCTTGGGGACAGCAGCAGATAGCAAGCAATTAATTATATACGTTAACAATAATGAAGCATAGTCACAGGATTTCACAACTCAGTGGCCAACCTAATTGTCATATCTCCATTCATTCCATCATTCATCTTGTACCTGAAACCCCAGTTGATAGGAATGTCCTCACTGAGCAGAACATCATTCAAGCTTCCCTTTGGACAGTACTCAGTCACAATGGCAATGTTAGGCTCTTCGATGCAGCCTCCAAGGAATTTACAAATATTTGGGTGATCCAGTTCTCTACAAAAATCAATATAAATGAGATAGGGTCTGTCTAGGGCATATTTCCTAATTCCCCTTTTTCCCTTAGTTTTTTCTGACAATATACATTCCACCTCCCATCTCTATGCCTTTGCACAGGTTGCTTATCATGCCTGGAATGCTCTCCCTTTTTATTTTAAAATAAAGTGCTTGATCAAGAAGCGTTGTTAAGTGCCTACCTCACAGTTAACTACAAGGCAGAGAGGGCATTCATTATTCCATCTATTGGTCTGCTTAGTTTGTACTTGAAACAAAATATTCCAGCTTACAGTACCCCCTGGTATCCCTAGCTTCCTTTCGTGTATTGGTTTCCCCCATTAGATTGTAAGCTCCTTGAGGACAGAGACTGTCTTATTTTTTTTTTAAATTTGTATTCCTACAAGTTAGTGCAGTGCCTGACACATAGTAGGCATATAAGAAATTTTTATCGAACTGAATTAAATAGAAGGTTGAATTTGACCTACATCTTGAAGGAAATGAAGAACATGAAATACCTAGTTTCCTTCAAGGCTCAGGTGTCACTTCCTGTATGAGACCTTTACTGATCCCCAGTTGGAGATCCCATCCAGCTTTGCTGGGAATTATATTTTCTTTGTTTATATTTTACATATACTTATCTGTGCACATGCTTTCGCCACTCAATAAAAGGTTAAGCTCCATAAGCACAGGGGCTGTTCCTTTTTTTTCTTTTTTCTTTTTTATCCTTAGTACCTCGAAAAGTGCCTGGCCCATAATAAGCACTTAAATGTTTGCTGAATTGAATTAAATTGAATATAAAGGAAAGAATGTACTTTTAGAGCTAGCTATTGGTGTTAAAACATATGTCAAAAAACATTTGAACAGCCAAACAGTGTGATGTGACCCTAATATATATAAGAGAACAACTTTGAAAAAAATGGTTATTAATTCTGATTAAGGTCTTATCATCTGCAGCCATTACTACTTTGCTTCATAAGGAGATTTGAATGCTAAGGCAAAAACCTAGAAGTATTCAGGGCTGAAAATAAACAAGCTGCAAAACAGCAAGATAAGAAATACATTCCTCTTACTCCTTAATACTCTGTAAAAAGTCTGCAATACCAGACACATTTCATTTATTATTGAGGGTGAAAGCCACTCAGGGGAAAAGTAATAGCAGGGTAGCACAGGAAAAGGAAAATTCTCATCTCTGAGGAAAACATGCCTCCCAAATATTAGTAGTGGTTCTGCTACCCATTTTACCCAGTGGTTCTGAAAACAAATGGCAATTTTTCCCCCACAGGCTTATTGGGTACCAGTTTGCTTCTCCCCACACCTGATTCTGATGTATTAGCTTTCATTGAGATTAACATCCCTTGGACAAGGTCTGGATTCCTCTTTTCAAAATTTCATTAGCTGGATGCTGACACTAACAATGTTGATTACCAAAATTCTTCACTGTCAGCAAAACAAAATATTGTAGCTTTTATGAAAATCTGGCAATTTCGTCCAGTCAGAATTTCATTACCTTCTTCCCACTCCCACCTCCAATCTAGAAATCCTTGGTTCAAATTTTAAAATGGTATTTTCCAAAGTATAACTCAGTAACATTACTTTTCAAGTTCTTTCTAAAGTTCCCGGAAACAATCATTCAATCAGTAAGCATTTATTAACCACTGGGTAAAATGGGTAGCAGAACCTAGAGAGGTTAATTCAACTTCCTCATCTGTAAAAAGTGAATAGGTTGATCTCTAAAGGTCCTCCCAATTTGAAATCCTACAATTCTATTATCCAACATTTTCTATTTACCTTACTTGCTTCACTTCTTTACGTATTATCTTGGAGAGTTTAAATGTCTTCTTTGTTATTTTCTTGATGGCTACAATCTTTCCATCACTGCAATGAGAGAGGAAAAAGTTATTTAGATCCTAATTATATGAGAACAATATTATTCTCATTTTTTCAGGAGGACCAAGCTAGGGGATAATATGTAGAGTGCAGTCCTAAAAAAAAAGAAGCCAGTTTGATCCCCCAAGTATTTTGAGCAAGTATTTTGTGGAAGATGCTCTTCAGTTGTCTGGAGAGGTCTGAAAGAGAAGGTTGTAACTTGCCATAGCTTTGTACTTGTAGTAGAAAGCAATATTATCCAGCACATATACTAATCCTGACTTTTCCTTTAGGTCTTCCATAAAAACAGAGTAAAAGAATAGAGAGCACTAGACAAAGAGAGACTAAAGGCAAGAATTGTACTGAGTAAAGCTGCAGTAGTAGGGAAAGAAGGGGCAGTAAAAGAAGGAGGAGTCAGGAAAGAAATATGGCTAACAAAATATTTTCCATGGGTCATAATCTTCATACATCCAGACACTGAGCAGCTAGATGATCTGTCCACATTACTACTCCTTCCCCGGTTCCATTTTGCACTTACTAATTCTCCAAAGATCATAGATTTTGGATTGGAAGGAATGTCCATTGAGTCCAACCACACACACACACACACACACACACACACACACACACACATTTTCCAGATGAGGAATCCAGTGTCATACAACTACTAAATGTCTGAGGCAGAATTTGTGCCTAGAGTCCTTCTATTATTGGGTTGTTAGGTTCTCTGCCACAGCACAGTCATTAATGATTCGAAGGTAAGCCAGGCTGAACCTGAAGACTAGCAGTTCACACAAAGGAAGGAACCAAGACCTTTCCCATCTCCCACCTCTTCAAATAAAAATTGTTCTCTGAAGGAATACATGGTGTAGGATTTAAAGAATTCCTCTACCACCTCTAGATCTCCTTCTTTTTAAGGTGAGGCTTATAACTGATAGCCTTCAGTGATGTAAATAATTCCACTAAGTTGCTTAAGAGATATTCTTAAGGGAACTTAATTAGAGAGAAAATAGAGCACTTTATGGCTCCTGAAGGATATAGCTAGTTGGCATAGTGAATACAGTGCTGGGCCTGGAGTCAGGAAGATTCATCTTCCTGAGTTCAAATCTGGCCTAAGACACTTACAAGCTGTATGATCCTGGGCAATCACTTAACACTCTTTGCCTCAGTTCCTTATCTGTAAAATGAACTGGAGAAGGAAATGGCAAACCACTCCAGTATCTCTGCCAAGAAACCCCAAATGGGGTCACAAAGAGTTGGACACAACTGAAACAACTCAATAAGAACAAAAAGTGTGTGAGGCAGGATTAGAACTCAGGATCTTACCTTGAAGCCCAGTGTTCTATCTACTATACCACTCAGCTGTCCAATGCTAATGGCATGTATTTCTTCACACTTGTCATCCAAGTGTGGAGCAATGGAGGGGGTAGGGGTTGGTCAGGGAATGATGGAAACAAGTGACAACCATCAGGGCAAACAAATAGGTAAATGTATTTGGGGGGAAAGGCTGAAATGAGGCTGGAAGCCAATTCCCCACAAATCCTGAAAGAATTCTGTTAGAAGTGGAGCCATCTAGTCCAATTAATTCATTTAAAGAAAAGGAAATAGAAGCCTAGGAGAGAGGAAGTCACTTGCCCAAGGTCACAGAGAAAGGACTTTGTCCAATTCTCCCATTTTAAAGAGAAACCACCCCAGATTTAGTGGCAGACAGGGGCTAAAGGTCTAGTTCACCAGCAAGTGTTCTTTCAGCCAAGCTGTTGAAGTTTGGTCTTACTTCAAGGGCATCAAGCCCCATAGAACAGTGGTCCTTGGCCTCATGATTCAGGACATACAATTTAGCAAGGAAGGTGGAAAACGGATGGGTGTTGGGGGTAGTTCAGTTCAATTCTATCAGACAGGCTCTGGCTGCAACTTCACCTCACCTCTGGATTCCATCTAGTTTTAAAAAAACAATAAGTTCGAGAAGCCTGAAAAGGCAAATCTTGTAGGGAAAGGAAAAGTCCCTGGGATGGGAGATGTAGAAGGATAGAAGGGTCCAAAGGAAAGAATGACCCCTCCAATCAGGAACAAGACTATATACAATCTTGGACTTTGCCCTGCCTGAAGTCCTGCTACCCTCCCTCCTCTTTGAAGAAAGCTCTGAGAGATAATCCCTGAAAAGCCACCTGCATTCCAGGCCAGGACGGGAGGCCAGACCTCAAGTCTATCAGCCAAGACAACCATTTTCTTTCTTTGTTTTTTTTTTTGTTGGGCAATGGGGGTTAAGTGACTTGCCCAGGGTCACAGCTAATAAGTGTTATGTGTCTGAGGCCAGATTTGAATTCAGGTCCTTCTGAATCCAGGGCCAGTGCTCTATCCACTGCACTACCTAGCTGCCCCTAACAACCACTTTCCAAACCCACCATTGTCAGATGAAACCTGAAAGATAGATCCAGAGCTGCAGTCATGTTACTTCCCTGTAAAAATCTCCCTCTGGCCCTCCACTGAAAAAATTCTGCAAATGGCTTCGGCATCTCAGTACTTTACTGGGTAAAATGTCCAAGGAGGAGAATAATACAAAACTCTGTGAGTTTTCTGAGAAATGGAATCTTCCAAACTTCCTCCAGAGATGTTTGGACTGCTTTCCCCTTTCCATGCTTTTGTTCACATTGTTCACCTAGAATACTCACATTATCATCTCTCTATTAAAGCTCTACTCATTCTTTCGAACTTCAGCTCAGGTTCCACGGCCTCCCTGATCTCTACCCTCCTCTCAACAAACAGCACTTTGTTGGTACCTCTCCTGTGCATTACATTCTGATTCCATTAAAGCAGTGTTTTCTTCCCCAAGTAAAACATGTTTGCCAAGACTCTAAGTTTTTAAAATGAGGAAGAAAAATGAAAAAATAGCCATTTTTGAAAACTTTTAAGTTTATTATTTTTAAGTACTTTAAAAACTGAAGAAGTTGAAGTATATGTAGCATATATGTAAATGGATGAGAGATACATACATTGCCTAAAAAGATATATATATATACATAGATGATAGATGGATCAATAGATGGGTAGATGATGATGGAGAGAGAGAGAGAGAGAGAGAGAGAGAGAAAGAGACGGAGAGGGAGAAGGAGAGACAGGGAGAAACAGAGAGAGAGAGAGAGAGAGAGAGAGAGAAAGAGATGAGATGAGACATTCAGTATCATGGATACAGAGTTGGTCTCAGAATCAGATTTGTGCTCAAGTCCAGCTGCTGATGAATACTGGCTGTGACCCTTTAACCTCTCTTTGTTCTAGCAATTCTCCAAGACTATAAATTGCACAAAAGGTGGCAACCGTATCCACATTGGTAAAGAAAGTTTCTCACAGGAAGCTCAGTACAATAATGAAATCAGCCTATCATATGCTATAGCTACATAGTTATATTGAAGGGGGGGAGTGGAGGGTGGGGTGAAGAGGGTGATTTATAGATTCGTGTAGGTAAACCACACTATATTAAGGAAAAAGCAAAACTCAAATGAACTTCAGCAATAAGGCACACAAATTAGGTAGCGTCACTAAATGCAAACTATTCATTTGCATCTGCTTACTAATCAAAAAAACAAGGAGTAGAGAGGACTTGAGATAACCTTTCTGTAAGCAGGTCAAGGCAAGGCAAAGGCATGTCTGAAGTTGTTGAAATGGTCATCTGTTCACTTCATTCTCAGCTGTAACCTCAAAAGCTCAAAGTGAACATGCAGATGTGTGATGTCTGAAAATTTTGTCAACGATCATCAACTGAGGGAGGTTAAGTGATAGGTTAGGTGACCTGACCAGGATCACATAGTGCCTCTGTTGTTGCTGCGGGTTTTTTTTTTATCCCAACTTGTGATTTCATTGGTATGAGGAGGGAAAAAGTCCCTTTTGCCATAAAGCTCTCTCTCTCTCTCTCTCTCTCTCTCTCTCTCTCTCTCTGAAAATTATGGTTTTAATATGAGTAGCATAGAGAATTATTAGCTATTACCTGCCTGTTTCCAGCAAACAACATGTGTGTCTCTGTATTTGGCTCTTTTGGGGATAAGGAACTCCCTGACTCCTTTTGGCCATACACAGGCAGGGAATGTCTGCTACATAGCTTTAGGGAATTGCTCCTGCTGAGGGAGGTACTGACAGGTTAAGTGACCTGTACAGGATCATATAGTGTGGTCAAAGACAAGATTTGAACCCAAGTACTGATTCTAAGGTGGCCTTTTTATCTGCTCCATCACAATGCCTCATACTGACTAAAAAATCATGCACACAACAACACTGGTTACCTGTGAACCCTGTTTTATCTCTACTTGAGGGCAGGGACTGTTTCCTATTCATCTCTGTATCTGAAGTGCCTAGCACAGTCATTTAGAAATGTTTGTTTCAATGAATTGTAACTAATAACTGTTAAAAAAAATTACTTGTATAACTTATCATAATCATCCATGTCACATTGCTGTCTCTAATCTAATAATCCATTTATATAGAAAAGACAATCTAATACTTTAAGAGGAATACCCAGGCTCTTCCCTGGTGAGAACAGAATCTTCTATCCAGGGAATAGTAGTTATGTCTTCTGCTTAAAAGAAGGTTAAGCGAGCTAGTGTTAAGCAACATAAATTGGAAGTATCCTTACCCTGTACAGAGACAACAACAACAACAACAAACAGAGAAATCTTACTATATCCCCGTCTGGGTGAAGTACTGTTTTTTAGAAGCATAGAGAGTAGTTGTGCAAGAGCTGATGGCAGTAATGGAACCAATGTTGGAGCTGCTGGCCACAAGTGGCATGCTGCTGTCACTCCCCATCCGCCTCCATGGATCTAAGTGAAAGAAATAAAACAGCAGCAGTCAATCAGGATCTGAGGCTAAGGAGTGACCAAAAAATGGGAAGTTGATGAGGGGAAATCCCAAACTCTTCTCTTGAACAGAGGCAACATGGATATATTCAATAATCAATAATCAATTTATTAAGTGCCTACTCTGTGCCAGGCAACATGCTAAGTGCTGAGGACAGAAAAAAAGAAAAAAGAAATGCAATCCCCAACCTCAAGGAGCTTATTATCTGATGGGGGAAGACAACAAACAAAAGGAAACTGGAAAAACTGGAAGAGTAATTAGAACATGGTGCATGGGAGAGGTACAAACCAAGTACTTGAGAAATCTCAGCTTACTAAGGTAGAAGACAACTTTTTTATTTGGCATTGTGCAACTTACAAGTCCATCCGGGATGCTTAAAGTGTCTAAAGAGTGTACTAATGGCAAACTACACAATGGATAATTTATAAAGAAAAGCTGAGCTGAATTAATCTGCCTTAAGAAAAAGTAAAACCAGCTATTAGCATTGTAATAACAACAACAACAATAGCTAACATTTATGCAGATCATTGAGATTTGCAAAATGCTTTCTATGTATTATCTAATTAGTTCCTTACAATAGTCTTGTGAAATAGTCACTATTATTATTATTATTGTTTCCATTTTGCAGATAAGGAAAATGAGGCTAAGAGAAGCTAAGCAACTTGCCCAGGGTTACACATGGCTAATAAGTGTCTGATGTGGGGTTTGAATTTAGGTCTTCCCAGCTCAAGGCCCACTGTACCACATAGCTGACTCATCTATTTCCTAAAGCCTTCATTGAAACACACACACACACACACACACACACACACACAAACCAATATACTACTATTTCCTAGTCATCAAACAGTACAGAGTTGTACTTTGAAAAATTAGACTTTGCTCAGATTCAGACCACTTTGAGAATACTGAAAGCTTGCAGGTTCCCAGTCTACACCTGAGATCCTGGAATAACACAACATCCAATATTCCAAGAAAGCAGCAACAGGATCAAAACAGACCTTCTCTCTAGATATGCTGCAGAGTACATCCTAAGTTCAAGTTGGAAGTCAGGAAGTAAGCTGGAACAATGGGCAAAACCAAAAGAATCATCATTAGCTATTATGATGGCAGAGATACTCAAGCCAAAATGCAAAAGAAGAAATTACTCCAAAACATCAGTAAGCAATGTCTATGAGAAAATAACAGATTGGGCACAAACTCAACTAAAATTCCTGGAAGAGATAAAGTAAGAGTTTTTTAAGAGGTAAAATATTTTTATAAATACAACAAAAGTGCTTAAGGAAAAATTGGAAAAGAAATAAGAGCTATGAAATAAAGAATTAGAATGGGAATTAACAGTTTGATACAAAATCTTGCCCAAGAAACAAATTCCCTGAAAAGTAAGGTGGACTAAATAGAAGTCAATGACTTCATGAGGCAACAAGAAATGTAAAAACAAAGTCAGAGGCTGAAAAAGTATAAGAAAATATAAGTATCTCATAGCAAAACCAACTAAACTAGAAAACAGATTGAAGAGAAAAATTTAAGATTCACTAGATTATCTGAACCCCACAGCCAAAAAGGAGAGCCTAGACATCATATTTCAAGAAACCTTAGAAGAAAATTGCACACATCTCTTAGTACCAGAGGGCAAAGTGGAAATAGAAAGAATCTACTGTTCACCTCTTGAAAGAAACCTCAAAATGAAAAATCTCTGCAACGTGACAGACAAAGCCCAGACCTTCTAAGTCAAAGAAAAAATACTTCAAAAAGTCAGAAGAAAGAATTCATGTACTTAGGAGTCACAGTCAGTATCACAAACAATTTAGCAACCACCACTATGAAGGATCAGACAACTTGGAATATGATATTCCAGAAAGCAAAGGATGTGAGATTACAACCAAAAAATAACCTACCCAGCAAAAGTACAGTGCTACGGGGGAAAAAGGAATCTTTAATGAATTAGAGGATTTCTGAGCATTTCTGGTGGAAAGACCAGAGCTACATAAAACTCTGAAGTTTAGACATCATACTGAAGAGAAACATTAAAAAAAACCCAATAAAACATAAAACAAAAAGAACCATAAAATATAAATGAACAATGATAAAGGACTAAACAAGAATAAACTGCTGACATTCAAATACTATCATCAAGCTTCAAAAAGAGAGTCCAATTAGACAAGGCCCAGGCATAAGGAAAAAACAAAAAAAGAAGAAAAAAGGAATACACTGGCAGAGAGCAGGGAGACAGAAGGGAAAGGAAAGTTAGGGGAAATTACTTCACATAATCAGGATGCAAAAGTAGATAATTACACAAAAAAGAAGGAGGTGGGAGGCATGTCTTCACTGTCATCTGAACTGGTCAAAATAAGGAAGAATATGGAGAGGGAGGGAGAGAGGAAGGCAAAGAGAAAGTGAGAGTTGGATACAAAAATCCATTTCACTCAACAGGAAAAGAGGAGATAAAAGGGAGAAGGAGATGGAAAATTAGAGGAAGGGTAGATTAATTAGTCTTAAGCAAAACAAATGCTAAAGACGTACAAAAAAAATCTAAAGCTCTTTTGTTTTTTTAAAATTTATTTTATTTTTAATTTGTGGAATAAAACAAGAATTTCTATAACATAGTACAATAAAAAAGATGATTGCATATGAAACTGCAAACCTATTATGCTCAACTTGTTATTCCTTTCAAATATACAACAAAATTATGTGTAATTTTTTTTCCCTTTTTTTTCATTTCCAACCCCACCCCCCACCCCTGCCCCAGAGATGGCTCTCTATAAGTTAGGAAATAGCTGACACATATCTGTATATAAATGTGAAGGAATACTATTGTGCTGAATTCTTATCAGTGTAATGATCAACTAGGGTTCCAGAGAACTAACAGTGAAATGTGGCACCTACCGCCTGATAGAAAGGTGAAGGACTCAGAATGCAGAATGAACCAATTATTTTTTAAGCATGGTCAATGTGGAAATTTGTTTTGATAGACTATGTACGTATGTAATGAGTTTTATCTTTCTTGTTTTCTTAAGATCAAAGATTAGGAATGAGGGAAAGGGAGGAAGAAGATCTTGGCTGATTAAAACAAATTGTGTGTGTGTGTGTGTGTGTGTGTGTGTGTGTGTGTATGTGTACCAGGTACTGTGCTAGGTGCTATAACGACAAAGAAAAAAATCAAAAGGCCCTTGCCTTCAAGTAGCTTATATCTATGGGGCAAAATGTGTATTTAAAATCACATATAGAACATAGATCAAATAAATACAAGCTAGTTGTAGGGAAGGGACACTAAGTTTGTTCTTCATTCTTGAAGAGGACCATGACATCAGGGAGTTGATGACATGACTTGTAATTTACTTTAATTTGAGGGAGGAAGGGTTGTACAAGGTCACCAGCCAGCCTCACTTTCTCCTCCAGAGCTATCTGGGTCTAGTGGCGAGATATAGATCAGGACAACTGCAGATGGCCCCAGATGCACTGAGAGACCTTGGCCTTTTTAAGCTGAGGTCTTCTCAAGTTCTCACTTTGAGTGAAGCAACACCAATTCAGTGGATAGGCCTCTTTAAGCAGTGAGTCAAGGGATGGCTAATTTAATAATAATTAAAAAAAAATCAAACTGGGAGACCCTCAGGGTTGCTCACCAAAAGAGAAACAGCTTCTATTTACCTTCCCTCTGAACCAGGAGGACCCAAAAATAACCATTAAGTGATGGAAAGATCAAGAAAGGCTTCATTTAGAAAGCAGTACTTCAGCTGAGTCTTACAGGACACTAGGAATTCTAAGAGGCTGAGTACAGAGGAAGGTGCCCATAATGGGCATTACAAAGGCAAGAAGACGGGAGACAGAGTGTTGTACATACAGAACAGTAAGAAAGTGAACTTGGTGGGACCATAGAAGGTGTTATAAAACTTGGAAGGTGGGAAATGGCCAAGTTGAAAAGAAGTTTAAATTCCAGGCAGGACAGTTTATTCATGATCCTGGAAGTAACAGGAAATCACTAGAGTTTATTAAGTAGGGGAGTACCATAGTCAGACCTGTGCTTTAGAAAAATCATTTTAACAGTTCTATGAATGATGGATTTGAGAGGAGAGAGACTTGAAGCAGGGAGACCAATTAGGAAGTTATTGCAATTGCCTAGAGGAGAGGTGATAAGTACTAAATTAGAGTGGTAGGTATAGGAATGGAGAGAAGGGGAAGGGTGCAAGAGATGAAGGAAGAAACTACAAAAAATGGCAACTGACTGGATATGTAGTTAACGAGAATAAGGAATCAAGGATATCAAGGTTGCAAAGTTGAGTGACTGGAAGGATGGTAGTACCTGCAACAGAAATAAGGAAGTCTGGAAAAGTGTTCAGTTTGAGGAGAGAGATAATGAACTGTTTTTGACATGTTGAGTCTGAGAAGTCTATGAAATAACCAGTTCAAAATGTATAACAGGAAATTGATGATGTAAGACTGGAGATAGAATATATGGATGTGAGAATCATCCATACAGAGATTACAATTAAAACCATGGGAGCTGATGAGATCACCAAGTGAGAGAGTATAGAGAAGTTTCCCGATTGAAAAAAAAAAAAGAAATCTGTCTGGTTTAGGGAATTTCTCGGAGAACTTGCAGCTGGTTGACTCTGCTCTGGGCTTGACTCTCTTATCCAGCCTAATACACCCTCCCTGCCTTTTCTGAGAACTTCCATGCCTCACGCTGAAAACTCATTGGCCAACCAATCAGATGCACTTGAATGAGGGCTTATCTTTCACCTATAAAATTTGTGAATTAGTCAGTCAGGCAACAAGCACCTACTTTGTGCCAGACTCCATCATCAAGTTGCTCTTAGGCAGATGAGACAAACGTCTCATTGTATTGAGTATCATTGATTGACTAGGAGTTGTGTCAAGAGCTCAATAAAACAGGTATGCCAAATTTCATGTCAGTTTCTTCTAGGAAAATTGGTCTAGAGACCATAATTCCTAAGAGTCTAGAGGTTTCCATGGTTGTTTCTTTATTTGTCCTTGCCCTCCCTGCTCCCATCCCAAGAATATTGTTAGGCTTTGAGGCAGCTAGACGGTGGGGTAGATAGAGCAGCGGGCCCAGAATCAAGAAGACTTGAGTTCAAATTTGGCCACATACTCCACTAGTTTGGTGACCCTGGGCAAGTAATTTAACTTCTGACTATCTCAATTTCTTCATCTGTAAACTAGGGATAATAATAGCACCTACCTCATAGGGTTGTTGTGAGTGTCAAATGATATAATATTTGTAAAGCACCTGGCAAGTTGTAGATATAGTAGGCACCTAATAAATGCTGATTCCCTTCCTCTTTTCCTTCATGGGAGTTAAGACTCCTACCATAAAGTTCTAAGAGCTTTATACATTATTGGCCTGTCTGAAATCTGAAACCCACTCTGAGTCCCAAAGTTGCTTCTGATGGGAACAAATATAACAACATTCATTTCAAAAAGCATTTATTAAGCATCTCCCTTGCGGTAAGCATTGTTCTAGAGGCAAAAATAAAGACAGTCTCTGCTCTCAAGGGGCTTACATTGGCAGAGGTGTGGGGGGGGTGGAGGTGGGGAATGGACATTTATACAGATAAGTAAACATGAAATCTATCCAAAGCAGATACAAAGTACTTCTGGGGAGAAGTAGAGCACTAATAATTGTGGGGATCAGGATAGGCCTCATTTAAAGTGTTTAATGAGTTAGTTTCGGTATCATTCAAATGGCAGTGCCTCACGCCATCAGTTTATCACATTTGAAAGGAAGGACTAAAATGGCTCTGGCTACATGAGTGGAATAAAGTCTTATTTCTATTAATTCAGAAGTTGACATTAGGCATGGAAAAGAGACATGATCTTTTCAGCCAGACCTTGTGAAGGAAAAACTTGAAATGTTTCTATCTCCTTAGGCACTATGGTCATAGCTGACAGTAGGGAGAGTATTGGCATGGCTCCCAGAACACTATATGGCAGGCAACACAAAGAAGCCCTTGGCTCACTTGGTGCTCATCAATAAGGGCTGGCTCTACCTTCTTTGAGGGAGGCAGGGAGTATGGGTGACACAAAAGCCTTAAATCCATGAGCCAGGTGAAAAGGCCACTCAACCAGAAGGAAAGGGACCTAAATAGTACCACAATAAATGTTGAGAGTAATGAGGTCTGTGCTACTTTGTTATCATTTCACACCAATACTATAATTAATAGATATTATTGGGGTTTGCTAGGACCAGCTCATCCTGGTCCTTTCAAATTGTCCATCAGCAGGAACAAATATGATCTTATCAGTCGAAATGACATTAAAGAAGAAACATTGAAATCTGCTTTGCTGCTGCAGCCTAAGGAATACAGAATCTTTCCATCTGACTTGTAGCTGAAACCTTCCACATGTGGTATTTCCCCCATTTCAATGTGAGCTCCTTGAGAGCTGGAGCTGTCTTTTTTCTATCTGTATCTTCAGATCTTAGCACAGTGATTTGCATAAAGTAAGTACATAATAAATGCTTCATTCCATCACCCAATTCCATTAGTCACTTACTCCTCCCTATTTATGCTCATCTCCAGGATAATCAAATTTGGCTTATTTATTGGGAACCACATGACCCACCCACTCTCCTTTGTCAGTCATCTCTCACCTCCTCACATTGAACCTCCTCTATCAATCCATTCTTCCCAATCTCTTCCAAACTCCTGGACCTTGAAACTGATCAATGAACTCAGAACCTGATCTGCACATGTTCTTTCTTCCCTCTTGGTCTAAAACCCCAAATGTTAAATTTGGCACCTGCAGCCTATGACTTGAATGTCTCTCTTAAGACAATTGGATCCTCCCAACACATCCTCCTAATATTCATTGACTCTTCCTGGCTGTTCTACCTGACTCAATGTATCCCAATTCATCTACAGCCATCAGAGGACATTTAAGGCTACCTTGTATCTAATCCAGGTAATCCAGTGGACAAAATGGCATCCTGTAACTTGGTCCTATTTAGGAGCGTAAATTTTTATTTGTGCCATTTACTGTCACACAACCATAGCTACTACAAGGAAAGAGTAGACTACATAATCTTGATCATGTAAACTTGGGTTTAGAATACATTATAGTCTTTTAAAATATAAATTTACTAGCCTAATCATCTTATAATTAGAATAACATTCAAGTTAATTGTAATTCCCTGAGCAGCAACAGCTTAACAAGGGGAATACATGGCTAGAGTATATTAAAGTCAGTTGCAAATGCAATTTTATTGATATAATTCAGTTGTACATTATCTGATTTGGGGCATTAGCCAAAAGAGCTCATTCTTAAAAAGAGGGTTCTACTTAACCAGAAGGTAATTCATCCTATAAGGTAATGAGCATTTAAACATTTTTCACCCTATGGAAGGATGGAGCAATCTGGAAACTGCCTATACTTGTCATAATTTTCTGGAGACAAGCTCCATCCTGATCCTTGTACTTTTTCCCTCCTTCGCTCCCCCTTCAAACTCCCATAGCATTTTCTTTATGCACTTATGTCTTATTTATATTTGCATTTTACTGGACATTCAAAGAATGCTTTAAAGGAAATAATGATTCCTAAAAAATATCCTGTAGTTATAATTTGTATAGAAAAGAATTACCTGTGTATGAGCTGTATATCCGTATTAGATTAGAAGCTCTATAAGGGCACAGAACTTGTCTTGTTTAATCTTTGTATCTCCCCCAATGCCTAGCTCAATGATATGCCCATAATAGACGCTCAACAAATATCTGAAGAGCTAATTGAATCAGAGACAGATCAGCCTTACTAAACAACTTTTTTCCTATGGAACAAGAAGACTGGTTGTGGCATAAAGCTTTATCCCCGAGAAGTAGATTTTATATACATATATGTGTGTGTGTGTGTGTGTATACACATATATGTGTGTGTGTGTGTGTATGCATGTGTATGTGTATATATATGTATACATTATATTCAGTGATACCTGAGTGATAAGAACACAACCTCAATTCTATGTCTCTGACCTAAGCAGTGGGGTTTCCATGAGAACTCACAGAGACTCCCTTCTCAGGAGAGCTTGAATGCACCATAGTATGGAGAAATGGATCCTGGGACTCTTGGAAACTGATAATAAGAAGCACTAGGTTAAATAGATGGAATCATTGTCAAGAGAACTGAAGAAAGAGAAGTCTTTCAGGGCATTTGTGTAATCTGAACTGGAGTTGTGATACTAATGTGATTCTAATTCATGATACTAAGTTGTGATACTAATGAGTTGTGATGATGCTCAATGCTTTATTTACACCTATTTTTACTCTTTTACACTTTATTTACTTATATATAGTAGCATGGAGAAAGTCTTTTTTAAGTGGAATGAACTTGAATTTGATTTCCGAAACTCCAGACAGCATTCACAGAATGCTATAAGGAAATAAAGATTCTTAAAGAACCCACCTATTGTGAAAATTTTTATCAGCTTCCAAATAGAGAATTTACCTTTTGGCCTGTCTCCATCCCACTCCTCATTTTCCCAGTTGTATTGGTAGTTAACTACAAAAATGTATTTGAGGGAAGATAGATAAACTTCTGTGATGTCCTTGCAAAAAAGTTAAAAGTTCTTATGACAAAAGTAATTTTTCACTCATCCTTGTCTCCAGTGAGCATTTTACAGCTAAATGAAAGACACAGGTGGCAAATTTTCATGTATTCATGCATCTTGGGTTACTTTCCGATAGCCTTGCGTAGAGATGAATTAATGTGATTTTGGACCAAAGGGTCACATGAACAGAGCTATTAAGACAAAATAACATGAATCCAACCATACAGCCTGTCTTATGTAAATTTTCATTCAGCTTCTTTTTAAGTTATGAAGATACAAACTGTAGGTGGCTTGGAAAAACTATTGCCTATAGTCATTTACAAACCTTGTTTGATGCGGGTGAAATCTATAATCCAGCTTTCATCCCAAAACATCTTTTGCTTCTGATACCAAAACCACTAAAAACAAAACATCCATAATAAGGAAACTGTCCATCAAAAAATGTATTAAGCACTTATTAGATTCCATACATTGTACTAAGTTTTGAGAATACAAAGAAAGACACAAACACAGCCCCCACCCCCAGGGAGCTCACATTCTAATGAACAAACAACAAATATTTGGACTGTTGTGCTATGAAAATTATGAGCATTTCATGCATAGCTCACACTAGTGGGCATTGTCATTGCTAAAACTCATAAAGATAATATTATTAAATAAAGACAAGCTGATTATAAATAATCCAATAGAGGAACCTATGTATAAACAATAATAAAAATGAAAAACTAATAAACGGAACAGTTGAGATAATGCCAGTTTACTTGAAATCACTTTCGTGCGCCTCTACATACTTTGCCTCCATATTAAGATAATAAGATTGGTAATAAAAATTGCTGACACTTGGGTAGCTAGCACTTTGCATGCATTATCTCATTTAATACTACTGACTTTCCTCTCTTCTGATATATTTGGAAAATTTGAAAGGAGGAAGACTATGGCACAGGTAAATGAGTAATAGGCCTCAAATACAATCTCTTTTATCTGAAATAATGAAAAGGAACATGATCTCAATAACCCCAAACAGCAGGATATCCTAAATTATTAATATTTGGCTTTGGAATACATTATACAAATTTTGGAGGTTAGCTTCCCTACTTTAGGTGGAGGTGCTTCCCTATTTTAGAATAAGATCCAAATGAATTCACATTTCCTAAATATATACTAATTGACTGCAGGGGAAATACTGAGAAACCACAGTGGACTACACAGGTCAGATAAGTGACTAGTGAACAAGCTTTTTATATGTTTCCTTTGCGTGTTGTTTTCTTTTCGTATATATTTTTCATGTCTCTGTATTACACGATAAAAAAAAATTTAAGTGTCCCTCTGTACAGTGGAAAGAGTACACTGGATGTAGGATCAGAGGATCTGGGTTCAAATCCTACCTCTTATGGTTACCACATGTGTAATCTTTAAATCACTTAAAGTCCCTGGGCTTCAGTTTCTTCATCTGTAAAATGAGAAGGTTGGACTTGAGGCCCTCTAAGTTCCCTCCCAGGTCTAAATCAGTGCTCCTATAATCTTCTGAGATGCTACAACACGTTGTATTGTGCTCTGTACATAGTTGTAATAAATCAAGTCCTTTGGGAGTTAGGGACAACATTCCATCTAACTTCCAACAGTATTTGTGAAATGGCCCACTTTTGTAAAGCACAGTGCAAGTCTCAGGCTACCAGGAGTAATGTGCTACTGGAAAGGCAACAGAAGAAAACATTGAAGATCATCAATGAGTGATCATCTATGTGAGGGAGCAATATAAATAAGTGAAGAGAGAAAGTGTGTGAAGAAAGAGGGGCAAATCACTTTAAAAGGCTCTTATTTCATCAAGAAATTATAGCATTTGAGTTAGAAGGGACCTCAGAGACCATCCAATCCAAACCTCTCATTTTACAGAAGAGGAGACCCAAAAAAGTTAAATGAGCAAACAACTTGCCCAAGGTAAGAAGTTCCAGATGTCAAATTTGAATCCAGGTCCCCTGACTCTCACCCCACTAATCTTTACACTCTACTATCCTGCCTCATTCCTCCTGGGATCTCACATAAGCATCACCTTCCTCTTTTCAGCTCTCCTTAATTCAGCTAAATGAAGCCAAAACCAAATGGAGAGGGGAGCAGTTATTGGATGAGTCTGGGCTATGACAAACAACATTTGGAATTACTGGGGCCAATCACAGTTACTCTGTCTCCTAAAGAGGGCTTGAATTACATGGAAGAATAGTGATTTGCCCAAGGTCAAACAACTGGTTAGAGGCAGATCTGGAGGTAGGAGGCTAGATTTAGAAACTCTAGACATCTTTCTATCAAACCATTCTACGTGTGATGAGATGGCAGGTCTAGACAAAGGAGAAAGCTAGAAAACAAGTAGCTAAGGAAAAATAACACAATTGTTAAGCAAAACCTACCATGATTGTCAGAATGAAAGCAGTACAAACCAAACAGATTGGCAAAGCAGTGGCTACCCAGACATCTGTAGTAAGTGGGCATTCCCCACAGTCCACTGGGCATATGGAACATCCCTCATCCTCTTCACACAGGCCATCCCCGCATACTGAACAGAAGGGAGAAAGAACAACAACAGAATGTTAGGAAATGAATAATTTCAGAGCCAAAGAGAGGAGAGCCAATAAAACAAAAAGCAGAGTATGGCCTAGGGGGCATGGAGCCCTGGGTTCTAATTAATGGTAAACCAGGCCCTGACACTGACTAGAGTGGGCCAAGCATTTCATTTCTCAGTATCTCATTTTAATAAATTATAAAATGGGGATGGGGGCAGATGATCTCAAAAGTCTTTTCCAGCTTCAACCTCCTATGATAGGGGCTTATAGTGCCAAGCTTTATTCCGAATATTTTTCTAAGGAGACAGTGTGGTGTCATGGGAAAAAACCATGAGATTCAGAGTTAAAGAAGCTAGGGTTGAATTATTGTTCTGTTACTTATTATCTATGTGATCTTGGTCAAGTCACAACTTTCTTGGGCCTCAGTATCCTCCTCTGTAAAAATTAGAGGGTTGAACTAGATGATTGTAAATAAATGTTCCATCCAGCTTTGACTCCTATGAATTCTAATTCTATTATTTTTTTTCACCCAACATTTATGCTGTTTCCAAAGTGACTCAGTTTATAAAAACAAAGTAAAAAACTATGTCTTGCTTATTTGGGTAGTTCTCCAGGACATTTTGCATTTCACTGAACAAGAATAAAAACTTGTAATTTATAATGGTAAATTGATGAGAACTTTCACACCGATTTCTTTGTAAATTTCTTCTAGTTCTATTTCTAACAGTATCCTCAGAGCATGTTTAGAATGAAGCTATTCTATCCCCAAAACTCCTCTTTCTGGGATAGATGAGTAACTTTCTCCAAAAATGTACTAAATGGCTCTCATTGGTCTCAATGCAGCACCATTTAGAATGTTAGCACATCAGTGAATGAAATAATTTCTGATCATTTCAGAAGTTATTACAGTTACTGGGTAGTAGCTTAAGTACTGGGACAATTTAGTCCAATGGAACAAATAATATTCCAAGGACTGATTATACAAGAATTCAACATGACTCCCTTCTAAGGGCCTTGCAATTGGCATCGGACAAGGCCCAACCCACGCCTAGTCTGGCAGTAAGTAAGAACATGTAGCTCAGAATGCATTCCTGCTGGCAGAGAAGTGGCTTCAGTCTTCCATGGTGCCAAGGGTATGGTTTGTAATTACTTTCAGAAGCCCTCAGGGGTTCTGGCAGTTTCCTAAAAGACACTGAACACAAACACTATTCAGACATATAGGTTAGTTTTAACCTTCTTGTACTCCGGTGATCTGTGTGATATCAAAAATAGACATTTCTGGGGCAGCTAGGTGGCCCAGTAGATAGAGCACCAGCTCTGGAGTGAGGAGGACCTGAGTTCAAATATGGCCTCAGGCACCTAACACTTACTAGCAGTGTGACTCTGGGCAAGTCATTTAACCCCAATTGCCTCATCAAAAAAAAAAAAACCAGACATTTCTTCAAACTACTATGGTATCTCAGAGACCACTGCCTCTCCTGAGTCTAAGGTTAAACCATCTGTTACAGGGTCTTTCTATTGGACTCCCATAGAAGCCACCATGTGGAAAAACTACAAGGATCTATTCATAAACCTTGAGGGCAGTTGTATATGCAACACACTTCCTTGAGGACTCAAGGTCATGCTGCTTGGCATCCATCCTGTGCTTAGGAATCCTGTTGACTAGAGTCATATTGAATATAGAATGAGGCCAGCATTTATAACAGAATTTATCTGTAAGCTCCAGTCTGTGTGCATGGCAGCCATCAATGGGGTCTGAGTCACTACCTATTGTCTTCTCAATGTAGAGCACACATTTAATGGTACAGGAATACTCTACTAGCCTTTCCTTACTGCTACAGAATATCAAGCAGACTCACCAGAGAGTCTGAGACAGGGGCCTATGAACATGTATCAATAAGAACTGAGAAAAAGAATCTATTAAAGACACTTCACTCCTTTGACCCAGAAATATCACTACTATGTCTATATCCCAAAGAAATGAAAGAAAAGATAAAAGGACCTATATGTACTAAAATATGTATACCAGCTCTTTTTGTGGTGACAAAGAATTGGAAACTGAAGAGATGCCCATTAATTGGGAAATGGCTGTGGTATGTGATTCTGATTGGAATACTATTGTGCTATAAGAAATAATGAGGGGATGGTTTCAGAAAAACCTGGGAAGACTTATATGAACTTATGCAAGGTGAAGTGAGCAGAACCAGAAGAACATTGTACACAGTAACAGAAATATTGTTAACAATAAACAACTGTGAAAGCCACTCTGATCAATACAATGATATAAGACAATTCCAAAGGACCCATGATGAAAAATGCTATCCACTTCCAGAGAGAGAGAAATGATGAACTCTGAGTGCAGATTAAAGCATACTTTTTTCACTTTGTTTTTCTTGCTTGTTTTTCCAGCATGGCTAATAGGGAAATATGTTTTACATGACTTCATATGTATAATTAATACCACATTGCTTTCCTCCTCAATAGGTGAGGGAGGAGCTAGAGAAAGGGAGAGAATTTGAAACTCAAATTTTAAAAAAATGAATGTTAAAAATAAATAAATAAATTTTAAAAGAGAAAGACTTCACTGTAGGGGACAGACTTACTTTTATTTATCCCATTTTAAACTATGCCTTTTGTTTTTATCCTTATCTAAACTTATCCCTCTCCTCTTCCCCAGTGATCCATCTCTCATAATAATGCTTTTAAAAGAAAAAGACAAAAAGCAATTCAACAAAATCAGCAACATATCAGCTACTGACAGTATATGCAATATTTGTGGAAGATTTAAGTAAACAAAAAAAAATTAGAACTATGAAACTGATGGGGATCTTAGGAATCAACTAGACTAACCACGTTGGTTTACAGAGAGAATGGAAGAGGGAAAGAAGGGAGGTTGGGGGACAGAGTTGGAATCAGTAGCAGCAGAAATCTGGGTTCAAATCCTGCTACTGATGCTTGCTAGTTGTGTCATCATAATCAAGTCACTTAATTTTTTAGAATCTCAGTTTCTTGTCTATAAAATGGGAATGATAATAACTGCTATACCTGCCTCCTAGGTAGGCTCCAAAAAGATATTGTATGTCAAGTACTTTTTCAACTCTAAAAGACTATGTAAATGTCAGCTGTTATTACAATCCAGGTCACACGACTCCTAGTTCTGTCCTATTACAAAGTGCCTCCACAGAGACTTAAATAGGAAATCTCTGAAACAGTTCCCTTGAGAAAAGTTCACAGTTAGTGGCCCATCATGGCCAATGATCATTCACACACCCCAGGACAAATGCCACAGACCCTTTCTTTGTGCGATAAGAAACTATCTTACCTGTTGCATGCAGTACTGTGGTTTGGGCTTCCAAAGCTACCTGCATCTTTCCAACTCTGATATGAGCAATAAGAGAAGTCACACCCACATGGACTAACACAACCTAGAAAAGAAAAAGACAAACAATAGTAAACAGCATGACTCCAGCGTTGTTAATTCATTCATTTCCCTTTGTTCATGGGATGGTGCTTTCAAAGGATAATAATGATCCATATCTGCCTCCCAGGCACTTGGATCAGTAGCATCAAACTCTGCCTCCCATTCAAATGAACAAAACATACAGAACATTAAGGTCACCCTATGAGTACTGAATCGGTACAAACTGAATTTGATTCTTCAACTTGCAGCTCTACTTAGCTGCTGAAAATAACTTCTTTCTTAAGGGGACACTTGACAGTGAGAAATGACTGCTCTCATTTCTCTTGATCTTGACCTTACAACATTACTTGGGAATACAAGTTTCAGAACAGATGTACACAGTCAGATGCATGTATTATCACACACTAAGAATGGGAATGGAACCTATGTCTTTTCCTCTGCCTCCCCAAAGGATTTACTGGGAAAACATCTTAGATCATCTGGCCTCCTATTCTTCAAAATCACAAGAGAAGGCTCTTCCACGTCTACTATTATATGTGCAAATTTCTCTCAATTTATTGGATTTTAATATTTAATTCATTGCTTCCCCAAAACTAGACTGTGTGTACTCTTGATCTCATCTCTCCTGTCTTCTCCAGAAGATCATCATCACTATAATTCCTCCTCTTTCTCTACTATTCAAGTTCTCCTTATCCACTGGTTTATTGCTTGCTGTCTGTAAATATTCACATGTCATCCATCCTAGAAAACCCCTGCTAGCTCCTACCATTCCCTCAAAATATTGTCTTATGTCTCTCTAGATTCTTGGCTTCTGAGTTCATCACTTAATTGAAAGTGCTCTTTTCAAAGTTACTGATGATCTCTTAATTGCCAGATCTAAGGACCTTTTCCCAATCCTCATCTTTTTCAACCACTCTGAAGCATTTAACACCATTGTTCACCCTTCAACACTCTCTCCTCTCTGTATTTTTGTGATTATTTGTTTCTTCTTGTTATCTTCCTGCTTGTATGACTACTCCTCACTCTTTCTTGCTGGATCATCATCCATCTTATGCCCCCTTAACTCTGAGTATGCCTCCAAATCTCTGTCTTGGGCTATCTTCTCTTTCCACACTTTCTCACTTGGTGACCTCTGTAGCTCACATAGATTTCCCTGTCATCTCTATGATTTCTAAATCTATAAATCCAGTACTAGCCTCTTTCCTAAGTTCCATCATACATCTTCAGTCACTTATTGTACCTTTCAAAGTCACACTCAGTACATCCAAAGTAAAACTCAATACAGTATTTCTCCAAAAACACACTCTGCTTCCAAACTTCTCTAATTCCATTTGAAGTCACCATCAACTTTCTCAATGTTAATGTTATCCTAGATTCCTCATTCTCACTCACCCAATACATCCACTCAGTCACCAAATCTTATCCATTCTTTCTTCCTCTTTGTTCTTAATCGCATTATTCATTCAGCATAGGAAAACCTCATTTTATGGAATGAATGCCTTCCTGGAAAGTTGCCTTAGAAGATTTTTATAAACTTATATAGAACAAAGTAATCATAATCAGGTGAACAATTTATACAATGATCACAATAATGTACATGAAAACAACTTTAGAACTTTGATTAATGCTGTGACCAATTGTGAATTTAAAAGGATCAATGATGAAGCATGTCTCTACTTTCTTGTCATAGAGATAGTCGATTATAGGTGTGAAATGAGCCATATTTTTCCAGAAATGACCATGTTAATTTGTTTTGCTTAACTGTACTTCTTTGTTATAATGAGGAACTCTATTAGAAGAGACAGTCGTTGGTAAGTAACAAAAAATGTTTCCTTAAATTTATCTGTCTTTTCACATTTCCTTTTTAATATCTATTCTGTTTTCCCCAGTTGATCTTCAATGGGTATATTTCTTTGAAATATATTTTGGTCATAAGATGTAAGTCAAATTCAAGAATTCAGCAAACTTCTTAAAATCATATAACTTAAGGAGAAAACAATTTTCAAAAACATCATGATTAAACAGTTCTAGTTAATTTTGAATTCATATTGTGCATTCTGTATGGCAAAATGACTTAAAAATCTAAGGAACAAACAACAATTACAGCTTAAGAACAGAACTCACTATATTGAAAAACCACTCAGTTTCTAAACAGCCCTTCCTCAGTTATGGTATGGCTAAGGTAACTAAGGTTTCTTTTCTTGTTCAGAATCTGTTTCCCAGCAGTTTGTGTGTAATAAGTTGTTAGCTTATAGAAATGAGTAGATTGACCTGGGTGAGTGAGGAGATGGGGAAAAATAGTGTAGAGATTAAGGGTATAAAATACAGTAATAAATAGATAAGCAATAATAGCAATCATTTACATATTCCTTTCTCTTTTACAAAGTGTCTTCCCAGGCATTCTCTTGGGTGATTAGTAGAACAATTTGAGGCAGACAGAGCAGGTATTTAGATGAAGAAATTATTAGGTATTATAGATGAAGAAATTAAGATTCAAAGGTGCTTTGAATTTTTTCAGGTTCAAATGGTAAGCAGCAAAGTTGGGTCTAGTACTCAAATCTCCCAGCCCTGATCTACCAGTGACCTTTCTACTACACAATGCTACCAAAGTTCGTGGTGGGGCTGTGAAAATGTGTTTCATATATTGCTAGGCAGCCCAAGAGAAAGGCAAGAAAAAGTGACTTTGGAGTCAGAGGACTTGGGTTTCTTTCCTAGATGCCATTCACTCTATTTGGGTGATCTTGAATAGTTACAGTCTTTCTGGGACATTGCTTCCTCATCTGTAAAATGAGGATCAACTCTAAACCTATGGCCCCATTGTACCATTTTCTAGTAGCAAAACGTTATCAAATGTGAAGTGAGGCTTTCAAGATCCTGTATTCATATTTTTCGTAATGAACAAAAAATGGTTTTTATTGATAGACAAAGTGTTCATTATAAGGAAGTGCAGAGGGAGGAGATAATTTCATAAGAAGAAATGCCTCCTAGCAGACAGAAGGGGGAAAAGAAGAGAAACTCGATACAGGGGTCCTGAGAAGAATCTAGGAGAATCACCAGACTAGGCAGTAGCAATAGTAAAGGCTATTTCCAAAATGTTCTAGATGATAGTTAGGCATCTTGGGAATTGTGGCATGTACTTCCCACCCCCCTCCTACCCTCTCTAGCCTAGGAGAAGATAGAGGAATCATGTGATTTGGGATTTGGGGGTATGATGTCTAACACTTGCAGTGTAACACCTAAGGACTAATACTTTATAGCTGTGTGAGTATGAGCAATTCATTCAACATCTCTTTGTTTCCTTGCCTGTAAAAGAGAAATAATGCATACTTGTAAATTGCTTGTAAAAGGGAAATAATAAAACTTGCAATACAGATCTCACAGAACAATTATGATGAAAGGAATTTCTAAATCTTAAAGTACTATATGAACTGAGGCTATTATTATTATTACTTTAAGGGATACTAGTTTCTTTCTCTCTGATTAAAAAAGAAAAAGAAAAGACAATTTCAATCTAAAAGCTAGGCAGTTCACTTGAAAAAAGGGCAGAGGGGTCATCAAGGCAGTATAATGAGGAATATTTTCACCTGGAGCAATACAGTTGAGGAAATGAGGGGGTGCATCATGGGGTGGGGAACAAACAGAGGTCAGTCCTCCTATGGATGGAGCTTTGCCAAGGAAAATAAGATGGTTGGGGCCCCCATGACAGGAGCACCATTACAATGAAATCCTGGCCACAGGGTGGTTGCGTTGCTTATGGTAAAATGTTGATAAAGGATGGGAGAATCACCACTGAAGAAAAATGCACAAATTGATCATCTTCCCCCATGTGTCTTCTATCTATCAGGGGCAAATCTAGTTATAGTTCAGCTTCTGGAGATGAGATGAAAGTGAGCCAGCCATCCTGGGGACAAAACAGAGGGCACCTCTATGAAGTATAACCACTATTACTATGGTTTAGTTTGTGATAATTACAGCTGGCATTTATACATCACTTTAAAGCTTTCAAAGCATTTTACATATATTATCACTTTGAAGCATCACAACAACCCTACGAAATAGGTACTATTACCCTCATTTTACAAATAAAGGAAACTGAGACTGAGACAAATTAAGTGACTTGTCCAGGGTCACACACCTGGCAAGGATCTAAGGCAAGATATGAACTCATTTCTACCTGATTCCAGGTTCGGGACCATTCATAGTATCATCTAACTGCCTACAACAGTGGATCCTGGTGACTTTCTTAACTATTTACAGTGCATACCTTTACATTCTCACACTGCAATAGATTTTGCACCCTAACCAGCTGCCTATCTATCATACTGAAAAACTGCTATAGAGAAAGAACACATATAGAGAAAGTCCCCAAGCCTAGACTTGAAATCTAAGGAAGAAAAAAGTCCTCATTTCTTGAAGCAAGGGATGGGGGGGACTAGATTTATGATTTTATAATTCCCAATAAGGAAACTCTCTTCATAGAGATTGTGCCATCTGCTCTGCTTAGTCTTAGAAAGTTGCTTAGGGCCCTGAGACGTTAAATGATTTTCCATGGGTCACACAGCTGGTTTGCGTCAGAGGAAAGACTTAAATCTAGGGGGCGGCTCTCTATCCACTGCTTCTCAGTACCTGGTTGACAGCTTCAAATGACAGAGAGTTTTCTCCACAGGAACCCTGGTCTATAGAACTTATGGTATTTATCCACAAGAGTAAATGAAATCATAGGGAGTACCAATTTACAAAAACACGTGGCCTAATGGACCTTAAATTCAGCTGATGTATATCAAATCTGATTTCTCAGTTATTTAACAGAAAATACTAATAGATATATTTCCTACTGATGAAATATAACTATATTACAGGGAGTTTTGGAAATAGGTTGTCAGACTAGATCCCCGAACAGACATCACAGCACAGCAGGTTTATTTCTGACTATACTTGAATTTGTTGGTGAAAGCAAGGGTCTCAGCATTGTTTTTCCCCTGGGGCTTTCTCTAGCAATTGTACCTATAACTCTAAGCTCAGGCAAGCTGCCCAAATTTTTCTGACGGTTTATAAGTCCAATATGATGGAAGTGACAGAATAATGAGATTATCACTAGAAAAAAAGTATCCTTCCTAACCTTTAGCTGTCCAGAAATGTCTATTTAGGGTAGTTTTTAAGGTATGAATGAACAAATACAAAATGTATTCAGCATCTAATGGTATCATAGCCTTATTTTCCACAAGATTTCTGAGTGAAAAAATTTAATAGACTCCTTTTTTCCACTTTAATTCTATGTACAAAGAGGAATACATTGACCTCCCTTGAAAATAATAATATGACCCATCTCAGCACACAAAACCAAAGCCACACAGATGCGTGCTTATACTATACCCCTAAGTACCAGCTGATTGGCCTGGGAATTCTAACTTTGTGAGTGATAGAAAGTGCTGGGATTGCAGTCAAGAAGACATTCCCTGGAGACTTACTTAACAGGGGCTAAACAGTAAGCTTCCATGGAACGTTCTGGCAAGAGCACACCCCTGTGGAGTACTGAGCCGGCACTGTAGCCTTTTCAGCTCAGTACTGAAGGCTTTGGCATGACCCTGAGTGGATCTTTGGTCCTTCCCCCACCTGGTGACAGCTGGAGAGGAAGAGCAATATATCAGTTAAAAAGAAGGGAGAGCTTTCAGCTTCCTTTGACTCAGTGTCATTTGATCAGCTTCCTGTGAGCAATGAGGAGGAGGAGCAGTACCTTCTCCTTCACCCTGGCAGCACGAAGGCTGGAAGGCTGCGGCCGCATGGCCACTAAACAAAGGCTTGGCTAGATGAACTGAGCCTGAGACTTGAACCCCGGCTGCCTTTTCTGCTTTGGGTTTCTTTCCTCAGTACAAGTGACTGAATGGTGATCCTGAGACAGAACCAGTTTTCTGAGTTCAAAAAGTCAACAACGATTCTTATTGTTACAATTCTATGAGCTGTTGCAAAATGAAGTAAAAAAAAAACAGGGAAACAATATATACAGCTGACTACAACAATATAAAAAAGGCGAGGGGACAAAACCGAACACTGTGCAAATATAATAACCTCAGTCTGACCTCTCTCCCCTCTTGGCAGAGTAGGCGACTTGGAACGCCAAATACGTGTATGTACATGCTGTCAAGTACGGTAAATATGTTGCTTGGTTTTGCTAAATGTTAGGGTTTTTTTTAAATCTTTGTTACAATGTATGACTTTCTAGGGAATGGGAAGAACATAAAAAATAATGTGTTATAAAACAGGCATCATAGGATCAAACCTTCAATGCTAAAAGAGACCTTACAGGACAGCTAGTCTAACACTTGCAGGTTTTGCAGGTTAGGAAACTGAGGTCCAGAGAGCTTAAGTGACTTTCCCAAGGTCACACAGGTAGTAAGTAGGAGAGTCAGAATTTGAACCCAGGTCCTTTGACTACAAATTTAAGAGTTTTCCCCCTGTGCCAAGCTGTTGTTTGTTTGTCTGTTTTTTTAAGGTGGGGAAAAGAGAGAAGAGGGAAGCAAAAGGCTTCACCTGAAGTCATAGATGAGTTATAATTCTAAAGCATTCTGTACATGGGCAGAAGGGAAATAAGAAACACAACTCAGGTGTCACCCTGAAGTTAGTCATATCCTCTGTTAAAATTAGTTGGTATTACTTTACCTAGATAAATTTGTATTTACTTATTTGTGTTTACTCCTCCTGCCCCCTCATCTAAGTAGAATGTAAGCTTCTTGAGAACAAGGAAAGTTTTGTTTTTGTATCCAGAACTTAGTACATAGTAAGTGCTTAATAAATGCTTGTTTAATTGAATTTGAATGGATTGGATTGGATTGGACTAGATCAGATTGGATTGGGAAAGCAAAGCAGAAGGAAGTCATTTTATACTGTGGTGGCTTGACTTGATTCAAATTGCTCTTTGAAGTAATTAATAAGATTATCTGTAGAGGTACTTCAAGAAAGAGACACCAGAATTGGTCCTATGGAAGCACTTCTAGCACTAGGGATAGACTTATCAAAGAGAGGCTCATTGCAATGAAGGTTTCCAGACAAGGTCCTCAAGGGATCGTTTATTCACATTTATATAGTGCTTTAACATTTACAGCATACTATGTATGCTTATATATATAGTCATAGGGAAAGATTTGGGGGTGCTAAAATTTGATTTCCATATGTCAAAATCTTGACCCTATATTTGCAGCTTTTTTTGACCATCTGTTTTCCTTGTTTTCCAAACACCTTCTGTCAGAATATCCCATATCTGACACACAATCACTCTCTATGATTGGAACACTCTGAATCTCATTCTTCTCTACTGAGGCCATCACAATGTTCACACAGCTCAGGAGTCCACAGACAGATGATACCTTGGCTGTCCAGTTTCTCTGTGTCATTTTCCCAGCAGTAGATAGGGTGTGAGTAAATATCTGTCCATCATCAGGGATCCATGGGCCACATATTCTACCTTTCCCCTTCACAAAAAAAAAAAAAGATAAGCTGGTTTATTAGCTACAGAGACAGGCAAGAGAACTGATTAGATCAAGTTGACTGAACAGTGAAAAGCAAGTGAAAAAGAGGGGGGAAAATGTTATCACCAATGGAATCATTTAAACCCCATCTTCTGATAAAGGCTAAGCTTTCAACAAAATGTGCTAGAATCATTCTGAAGAGCTCTAAGAATGGCCCTGTTATTTCAGTCCCTTTGTTTCTTCCTCTAATGCACTCAGAAATCTTTTTTTTTGCTCCAAACACATTTCATGCCTTTTGTTCTCAAAGAACATCACATACCATTCTGTAGAATCATTATCCTGAGCAAGTAAATGTTATATTCTACCTGCCCACTGAAAAGCATTTGATTTGGATTTTTTTTTTGTTTTTGTTAGAAAACAGCAGGAGGCCTCCTAGAACAGCCATAGTAGTTTCCACCTTTCAAGTAGGTTATTCTGGGAAGCTAGCTCCTAGCAACTTAGGAGTCAATTGTTAAATTTTCAATGTGAATATTTATACTTCAGAAACTGGCAAATGCTACAAATTAGGGTTTGATTTATTGTTCGTTGATTATGCGGACTTCAGAAAGTGATGGATAAAATGCTAATGATGCAGATTAAATTTAAAAGTGTGTCCTGTATACATTTGAGGGGGGGAGGGCTGGTTATTTAACATTTACCAGCACACCGCCGATTATCACCAAAACAAAAGTCCTGGACCAGGCTACATTTCTACCACACTACATTTGAAGGTAAGTTTCTCTAAGGGATAGTGTTATTTTGGTCTTTGTATCTGCAGCATTCAGCACAGTGTCTAGCATTCACAGATGCTTAATAAATTGATTGATTGATTTGACTCATTCTTGCCTAGTGTTGAAATAATCACAGTATCTGGCATTTACATAGTGCTTTAATGTTTTTCAAGAATTTTTCATCATACATTATCTCATTTGATCTTCACAACAAACCAGTGAGGTAGGGTGCTATTATCATATCCATTTTACAGATGAAAAATTGAGACTCAGAGAAATTAATTGACCTACTCAAAATCACCCAACTAGTAACTGTATGAGGCAGAATTCAAACCCGTGTCTTACTGATTCAGTCCATCAACAAGTATTTCACAGGATCACAGATTTAGAGCTGAAAGGAACCTTAGAAGTCAAGTCTAACACTTGAATCTCAAAGAAGTTAAATAATTTACTCTGGGCCACATAGCCAGTAATTGTCTGAGGGGACAGGATTTGAATCCCTCTTCCTGACTCTAAGTGCCTTATATACTACAAGTAACATGCTTTGTAAATTGTATAAAAAGCTCTGTAAATTGGTAAATGTTTTATAAATTGTAAAGTTATATATGTGTGTGTATGTGTATAAATATGTGTGTGTATGTATAAGTATATATTGGGAAAGAAACTGCAAATTGAATAATGAACTCTACCTTTCTTCCTGAGAAAGAGAAATGTCTATCATTCTCTGAATGTTAGTGTATGTTTATATATTTGTGTATGTGTATATATATGTATATATGTGTGTGTATAAATAGATGTGTATATATATATATATATATATAATATCCATATATATCATTATTAAAGGCATAGCTTTAGAAATGGAAGAGAATTTAGAGGTCAACTAATCTAACTTCCTTCATTTTAGATATGAGGAAACAGAATCTCAGACCAGGATTCAAACCCAGGCCCTGGGACACTAAGTCCAGGACTTTCTGCACTGTTTCTTTTGTCAGAATTGGTTGACTTGATTCTAAATAGAGAGTTACAACTGAAATGTACCAAATAAATGAGCATTTACTCCAGTGGTATCAAACTCAAATAGAAACAAAGGTCACTAAACCAAAAATAAGGATCCTTAAGAGCTGCTTAGAAAACCAAATATTAACAATAAAACATTACCTATATTTTATTGTATTTTTATCAAGTATTTAAGTAGGCTTTTTGAATAAAAAACAAAAATTAATAATATAATAAAACATAGATTATGTTTTAAGTATCTTCCTCTGTTGAATGACAGGTACTTGGTTGAGTTAAAAATGTAGACACACTTTAGTTAAATACTGCAGGCTAGGGAGTGAATGAACCATTTTAAGGATGAATTTTATTTCATTTGTTCAATGGTTCATTTAAATGAACCATAATTGAGGATTAACATTTATTCTATCTATTTATTTATTCAGTGACTATGTCTATACATATATGCATATATGCTGCTTGATGATAACTGCTTAGGCTAACATTCAGAGAATGATAGACTTTTCTCTTTCTCAGGAAGAAAGGTAGAGTTCATTATTCAATTTGCAGTTTCTTTCCAAATACTTCTAAAAATTCACTTCATATGTAGAACTAAGGTTTTGATGGTGCATGTATATATATATAAATACATATATATGTGTGTATGTTATGAGATGCTCTTAGTCTATATCAGCAAACGACCTTTCTAAGCCTTTGTTTGACTACTTGAAAAGAATTATTGCTTCCTAAGATAGAAAGCAATAGAGTTATGCGTCTGGGTATTTCTACCTTACTCAGACCTGGAGGGAAGAAGCGTGTGATATGGTTAGATTTGTGCACAAATAACTTTGACAACTGGCTGGAGGGAGTGAGGCCAAGAGGTTAATTAGGAGGCTATTTCAATTGTCCAGGCAACAGGCTATGAGGGCCTGAACTGTGTGAGTGGAAAGGAAACATATACGAAATACCTTGTGAAGATTTGATCCAACAGATGGGTATGTGAGTTGAGAGTGAGGAATCAAGAATGATATCTGAGTTTCAAGCTTAAATGACTGACAGAATGACAATAAGAAAGTTGGGAAGAGGCACGATTTTGGGGGGAAAGATAATAAATTCTGTTCTGGACATATTGAGTTAGAGAGGCCTACATATCAATTGTCAATCTGAATTGATAAAGTAATTTCCTTACTTCGATTTCCCCATACCAATGAAAACGCAAGAGGTTGATTAAATTACGTATGTGTGTATACGTACATACATATATTTCATATATGTGTGTGTGTTGTTCCTAAATAGAGCCTCATAATTCTCTTCCAATGATTTCTATGAATCTGGCACTGGACCCTGGGTTTGGGCTGGTGACTATACTTTCCAAGGCTTTCCCCACAAAGGGAGGTTTGTAACTGTTGGGGGAAAAAAAATCCTATTCACCCACTTAACAAGTGCTTGAGTGTTTTCCAAGTGCATTGTGCTAGGTGTCCAAAAGATTACTTTGAAGTATAATATATCACCCCTGCCCACAAGAAGGTTACAATTTAATTGGAAAACAAAAGAAGGGAAACAGTAGTCATCATACTTTCTTAAAAATTTAAGTGCCCACTATATTCACAACATTGTTCACTCTGGCTGATACAAAGGATATAATCTTGTGGAAGATTCTGACTATATATAATGTTATAGTATAGTGCTTGATGAATACTAAGCACTGAATAAAAGCTTTTTCATTCTTTTATACTGAGTACAAGAATATGAATACAGTTACATATTAGAAACTATGTTGTTAGTTACAGGAATTAGAATACAAAGAAAGGAATAGATTCAGATGTGTTGTAGAGTAATAACTGGCAGTTCTAATGTTTAATGAGAGGCAATGTATAGTGGAGAAAGGACCTTGTAGCTGAGAGACCCAAATTTGAACCACAGACAGCTGGGTGTCATAATGGATAGAACCTGACTCATTCAAATCTGGCCTCAAATACTTACTGGATGTGTGACCCTGGGCAAGTCACTTAACTGTTTGCCTCAGTTCCTCATCTGTAAAATGATCTGGAGAATGAAATGGCAAAACACTCCAGTATCTTTGCAAAGACAAAAACAAAAACAAAAACAAAAAAACCTAATAGAGTCAGAAATAGTTGGACAACTGAATATAACTGAACACAAAATATGTGATCACAGGAGTCATTTCACCTTTCAAAACTTGTATTTCCCCATCTGTAAAGTTGTGATGATGGTACTTATAGTACCTATCATCCAAGGCTCTTAGGACAATTAAATGAGATAATGTAGGTAAAACGCTTTGTGAATATTAAAATGCCATTAAAGTCACTTGTTATTATTAAATAAATATTTATTAAGGTCCAACTCTGTTCTAGTCAACTTGCTACATATAATAAGAGCTAACTTATATAGTACTTCAAGGTTTGTAAAGTAGTTCACATAAATCAATTCATTTATTCCTCACAACATCCCTGTGAGGTAGATGCTCACCCATTTTAAAGGTGAGGACACTAAAACCAAGACAGGGTAAGTGACTTGCCCAGAGTCACACAGCTAGTAAGTGTCTGAGGCAGGATTCAAATTCAGGTCTTCTTGATTCCAAGTCTAGTACTCTGCCTACTATACCACCTCTGTCCCCAGCCCTGGAGATTAAAAATATTTAAAAGTCCTTCCCTCCAGGAGCTTATATAATCTTGTCATTCAATAAAAGGCTTCACCCCATAGAAAAAGCCTATAGAAATCATCACACTACTAATTGCTACTAACCATGAAAGCCAGAGGACAAGAATGAATGTTGGCATGGTGGACACAGCAGTTCTCTCCATTTGCTTCCTTCCAGTTGGCAGGGCACTCTACATCTTCACAGAATTTCTTTGCAGCAGTTGCATTGCTAGACAAACAAAATGTTTTAAGGTTGTTTTTTTTCTCTCATTTCCTCCTTGTACTATCCCTTTGTCCCCTTCCCTCCCTCATTTTTACAACTTGTGTTCCTAGATCCAAGAGAGGCCAATCCATGCCCTATTCATTAAACCACACGTAAAAGTAAAAATCAATAACCCGACATGGTTTATTTCAGTCACAACAAATAAGCCACATCTTTAATCTCTATTTTGATACCCAGACTTGGCTTCCTCTGATGGACACTGTCCCTTAGATGCTGATGCCTAAATGGAATAGCAAAAAGTTCTTCAAATAGCAGGTACAAAATGTGAAGCCTTATCTGAAAATTGAGCCAAACAACCCAATGTTAATCGTAGTGGACTTATAATAGGCTGGGCTAAATGAAACATTCTCTTGGGAATAAGAGTATTCCTTCTTTGTTGGAGATAACATACCTTTTCTGGAGCACCAAGTTGTAGGGGAAGATTCCACGAATGAAAGAACACTGACCCTCAGAGAAATTCGCACCATAAACAGCATGTAAGTATCAATTTAGCAAAACAATCAGCATTTCAAGAAGATGCCTTCTTACTTATTCCATTTGGGGTGACTATCTACATAGGCAAGGTAGAATGGAAGAATTCAGAGACCATTGGAAGGATTACATTGGAAGGAATTAATCTAGTCCAGCCACTTCATTTTACAGATAAGAATACTGCAACTCAAAGAGGTTCAACGATTTCCTAAGGTCACACAGAAGTGAGCAGGAATGTACAGTTAAATTTTAAAAAACCTGATAAATTTTGATAAAGGATATAACTAATTTTATCTAGTGTTTACCTACCAAAACAAAATACACAAATGAAACTCTTATTTTTTTTCAATGTTATTTAAGACTGCATCTCATTAATAGCTTCAACTCACCACTCGCCATTTTGGTTGTGTAGACACAGCCATATAGCAGGTGTCATACAGTGGCCAATCAGGAAAGTTGCAACTAGGAGGTGAACATGTGTTGATGTACAAAGAGCAAGAAACACTTGGTCCTTTGTTAATGGTGAAAATGGTTTCAGATAACATGTAAGCAACTCCCATCAAAACTGCAATAGACCTGAAAGCCCTGACAATCTCACTAGCTTAAGTACAACTTTTGTGGAGGGCACAAGCGTAATAACCATTTCTAACTCAAGATTGTTCACTAAATACTTTAATCCATTTTTATTCTTAATATACCAGTCAAATGATTTCTGGGGAGGTAAAATATTTGAAGAGACTTTGCTATTGAGTAACATTAACCATCAAGTCAAGGCAGAGATGAAGAGGGAGACTAATATAGTGAAAGGAACATTAGGTCAATATTATCCAGCTCAAACACTTATTAGCCATGTGGCTGAATAAGTTGCTTAATCTCTCATCTAAAAAACAGGGAGAATATTTCTTACAATAACTATTGAAGAAATAGTAATGATAACTAACATGAATATACTAATATAATACAACATATATTTTACTTATATGTGTGTACATATTACCATCATTGTTCCAATACTTCAAGGATTTATGATAGTATTGATGAGTACTCCCTTTACCAGTGAAGATTGAAATCTATCTATAATTTCTATAAATGGTCTTCAAGAATATCTGTGGCAAAATAATGATGATGATGATGATGATGATGATGACAAGCAGCCTTCAAACAATATGTTAATGTTCAGTTGTTTCAGTTGTGTCCAACTCTTTGTGACCCTATTTGGGGTTTTCTTAGCAAAGATACTGGAGGGGTCTGCCATTTTCTTCTCCATTTTACAGATGAGGAAACTGAGGCAAATTGGGTTAAGTGACTTGTCAGGGTCACATAGCCAGTAAGTGTCTGAAGCCATATTTGAACTTAGGAACATGAGTCTTCATGAATCCAGGCCGAGCATTCTATCCATTGTGCTCATAATTGCCCCAATATGTTGATGACCTTTTCCAAACTTAACCAAGCTGGTCCTCATAAGACAAATATAGTTCATCACTGGATATATATTCAGTGTCTTTCTAACTTGGTAAAACCCTCCAAAGTTTGAATTCTCTTGGTATATTATTTGGAAAACTACAGTAATCAACCAATGAGTGGGAATATAGTGGAACAGACCTGGATTCTACCCTGAGAATGCTTAGTGACTCTGGGATCTTCAACAAAACACTTATCCTCTCTGAGCTGCCATTTCCTTTTCTGTAAAATGTGAATAATAATACTTGCTCTGCCTACCTCATAGGATTTATGGTGAGTATAAAATAAAACAATGCATATGAAAACTCTTCATAAATCAATAGTGATAATGAAGACCATATGTAATTCCTAAGTCTGTGCTCCCTAAGAACACACCACCAAGCCAGGCAATTTGAAACTAAGGTAGCTTTGCTCTCTGTATCACTTTTGTGGTTTATCTGTTACTTTCATTTTCAATCTGAATAACATCATTCTACAGGAAAAAATTTTTGTTCAGGAGTCAAAAATGACAATTTTGGTTAATTCTTCACTATCCCATAATGCATTTCACATAATCTGAAAAACTGTGGTATTTTTTTCTAAATCATGTTCATAGCTGACTGAATCACAGCAATTTAAAAATACCTGAATTTTCCAATTAAGTTTTTAAAATAAAGGAAATCTATTTTATAATCTGGCTCAACTCTTACAATGAGTTTATCTTTGTGATTCATGCTATAGATGCTCTGCACAAATGTAAGAAGAAAAAGACTCAAATTAAAATGTCAAAAGAATTTCAATGAGGGAAAAGCAGTGTTTTCTATGTGAGTGATACAAATTCCTATTCTACTTATGTTGAAACTGGTTACAGTAGGTTTCAGAATTGGCTCAAGCCACTTAATTTGATTGAAATGGATGGACCATGTAGTCCTACCTGATTGGTATATGGGATCATTTAAAACAATAGATGAAAAAAATCTTAGCAAAATATTTCACCAGTTGGCTTCTGTTCTTTCCCTCCTTCCCTATGTAATCTCTCCTCCCATTTAAATTTTACACCATGATTTAATGAGTAGTTAGCTTCAACAAGGTTCTAGTACTCTAACAAAACCCATTAATTTATTTCACTGAATAGAAATCAGTAGTCAAAAAATGAAAAAGGAAAGAAGGGGCAGCTAGGTGGCACAGTGGATAGAGCACCAGCCCTGGAGTCAGGAGGACCTGAGTTCAAATCTGGCCTCAGACACATAATACTCACTAGCTGTGTGACCCTGGGCAAGCCACTTAACCCTGATTGCCTCCAAAAAAAAAGGTAAGACAGGGCTTTAAGGGAGCTGGTATTCTGTACAGATCATTTAATCTCTTGTATTTTTGAGCCTCCTTTGTTGTGGTATCAGTGGTTTCAGTCATGTCTGACGCTTCATGACTCCATTTGGGATTTTCTTTGCAAAATAATAGAATGGTTTGACATTTCCTTTTCCAGCTCATTTTATAGATGAGAGTTAAGTAATTTGCTCAGGGCCACACAGCTAAAAAGTTATCTGAAACCAGATCTGAACTCATCTTCCTGACTTCAGGGCCAGCATTCTATCCACCACACCACCTAACTGCCCTATTAAGCTTCCTTGTGACCTAACTTTTCAGCCTTGTCACTAAATTTCTAAAGATTTTTTACTCTCCTTTCTCTGGCTACACTGAAGGGCAACCATAGTTGTCAGTCAGTCAGTAAACATTTATTAAGCACCTACTATGGACCAGACAGCGTGCTAAGAGTTGGGAATACAAAGAAAGGTAAAAGGAAGTCTCTGCTCTCAGAGAGTTCAGGGTTGCTTCTGGGAGAAAAAGTGAAATTCAAGCATTCCACTGATATTCCTGGGAAAATGAATAGTGTAAATTCTTTCAAATGTACAATGACACAAAATATGGAGACATTTAGAAAGTTATTGGATTTTAAGGTTGAAAAGTATTTTTGAGATCTTTTATTCTACCTCCCTCAGTGAATAATTGAGAAAACTGAGGTCTTCAGATGCAAAGTGACTTGTCCATGGTCACACATTAAGTTAGTGAAAGAGCTGGGACTAGAAACCAGGTTCTTTAGACACCTAGGTGAGTGCACTTTCTATTATGCCATGTTCTCTTTCTTTATTAGTCATTTGCACTGATTAATTGTCAAGTGTGATAATGCTATCAATTGTCTTCCTTATTCATAGTATGCAGAATACAGTCATCCCTTTGACATGGGGGGAGGGAGGGGTTAGGGATGTGGTGCCTCATGTGAAAAGTCCAGGAAAAATTTTTTGGCCCTCCCTTCAAAACAGAGAAGAAGTCTGAATTAGGATGTTATTAAAAGATAAAATATGGGGAGAGGGCAGAGCCAAGATGGCAGAGTAAAGGCAGTGACTTTGCTTCAGCTCTCCCCCAAACCCTTCCAAATACTTGTAAAAAATGGCTCTAAACAAATTCTAGAACAGCAGAACCCATAAAAAGACAGAGTGAAACAAATTTCCAGCCTAAGACAACCTGGATGGTTGAATGGAAAAATCTATTGTGTCCGAGCTGAGAGAGGAATGCAGTTCAACATTGCTGCCCAGGCAAAAACAGGGCCTCAGTGAACCTGGAGCAGTCCTCAGGGAATTAAATCAAAGGAAGATGTGGTGATTTCCAGACTGCTTAACCCATAAATGCCAAATAAAACTTAGAAGGACAGTAGGAAAGCTGTGTCTGACCATGGTGAGAGAAGAGCTTGGTCCCAGCCCCAGTCCTGGCACAGCCAAGGAGTGGTGGCTGCTTCAGAAGCTCTCAGCCTACACACAAAGGGAGGGATCTAGTGCCTGATAAGAGGGGGATGGCAGAGATCTCTTTTCTGGCGCTGAGGCAGGATTCCCTTGCTTTGCCCATGTTTGGATCTGGGTCACAGTTCTGGGTGGCGGTCCTGGAGCAAGGAGGAGTGCTGGTGTGTGGGAGCTCATAGTGGTGATGAAGAAGGAATCCTTCTCATCACTCCAAGGTAGAAAAAAGTGCTTGTAGTCATTCATACACCAGAACCCAGGCCAGGAAAGATGTAAACACCCCTTAAGGTGTAAACAGCCCTTGGTCATACCACCTTGGAAAAACTGAAAATTTACAGATTCCTAGAAGTATCTCTGAAAACAACTACACAAAAACCCTGAAGCTTGGGACAGTACATTCTCCACACTGGAAGCAGACCCTTACCTTAACAAAGAGTTTAAAAGTCAAGTAATTGGCTGGGAATATCAGCAAACAGTGCAAAAAAAAGTCAGACCATAGAATTTTCTTTGGTGACAAAGAAGATCAAAACATACAACCAGAAGAAGACAATAAAGTCACAGCTTCTACATCCAAAGCCTCCAAGAAAAATATGAATCAGTCCCAGGCCTTGGAAAAGCTCAAAAAGGATTTTGAGAAGCAAGTAAGAGAAGTAGAGGAAAAACTGGGAAGAGAAATGAGAGTGATACAAGAAAATCATGAAAAACAAAGCAACAGCTTGCTAAAGGAGACCCCAAAAAATACTGAAGAAAATAACACCTTAAAAAATAGACTAACCCAAATGGCAAAAGAGGTCCAAAAAGCCAATGAGGAGAAGAATGCCTTAAAAAGCAGAATTGGCCAAATGGAAAAGGAAGTCCAAAAGCTCACTGAAGAAAATACTTCCTTACAAATTAGAATGGAGCAAATTAAAGTTTGTGACTTTATGAGAAATCAAGAAATTGTAAAACAAAACCAAAAGAATGAAAAAAATAAAAGACAATGTGAAATATCTCATTGGAAAAATAATTGACCTGAAAAATAGATCCAGGAGAGATAATTTAAAAATGATTGGACTACCTGAAAGCCATGATCAAAAAAAAAGAGCCTAGGCATCATCTTTCAAGAAATTATCAAGGAAAACTGCCCTGATTTTCTAGAACTAGAGGGTAAAATAGAAGTGGAAAGAATCCACAGATCACCTCCTAAAAGAGATCTCCAAAGGAAAACTCCTAGGAATATTATAGCCAAATTCCAGAGTTCCCAGGTCAAGGAGAAAATATTGCAAGTGGCCAGAAAGAAACAATTCAAGTATTGTGGAAACACAGTCAGGATAACACAAGATTTATCAGCTTCTACCTTAAGGGACTGGAGGGCTTAGAATATAATATTCTGGAGGTTAAAGGAGATAGAATTAAAGCCAAGAATCACCTACCCAGAAAAACTGAGTATGAGCCTTCAGGGGAAGAAATGGACATTTACGGAAATAGAGAACTTTCAAGTATTCTTGAGGAAAAGACCAGAGCTGAATAGAAAATTTGACTTTCAAATACAAGACTCAAGAGAAGAATGAAGAGGTGAGCAGGAAAGAGAAATCACAAGGGATTTATTAAAGTTGAATTGTTTAGATTCCTACGTGGAAAGATGATATTTGTAACTCATGAGACCTTTGTCAGCATTAGGGTACTTAGAGGGGGAAAAATTATACAGATAGATAGATAGATAGATAGATAGATAGATAGATAGATAGATAGATAGATACATGACACAGGGTGAGTTGAAGATGAAGGGGTGATATCTAAAAAATAAGATTAAGGGGTGAGAGAGGATTATACTGGGAGAAGGATGAAGGGAGAGGTAGAATGGGGTAAATTATCTTGCATAAAACAGACAAAAAGCTTTTACAGTGGAGGGGAAGTGGGGGAAGATGAGAGGGAATGAGTGAATCTTATTCTCACTGGATTTGGTATAAGGAGGGAATAACATACACACTCAACTGGGTGTGGAAATCTATCTTACCCTACAGGAAAATAGGAGGGAAGGGGATAAGAAAGCCCAGGGATGATAGAAGAGAAGGCAGATTGGGGGAGGGGGTAATCAGAAGCAAACACTTCTGAGGAGGGACAGGGTCAAAAGAGAATAGCATAAATGGAGGCGGGATAGGATGAAGGGAAATATAGCTAGTCTTTCACAACATGACTACTACGGAAGTGTTTTGCACGACTACACATGTATAACCTGTACTGAGTTGCTTGCCTTCTCAATGAGGGTGGGTAAGTAAGGGAGGGTGAAAATTTGGAACCCAAAGTTTTGAAAACAAATGTTAAAAATTGTTTTCAGATGCAACTGGGAAATAAGATATACAGGCAATGGGGTATAGAAATCTATCCTGCTCTACAGGAAAATAAAAGGTGAATGGGATAACAGAAGGAGGGTAGGGGTATTCAGAATGCATGCCTTCTTGGGGTGGGGGGAGGGTTGAGATGGGGAGAAAATTTGGAACTCAAAATCTTGTGGAAGTGAATGTTGAAAACTAAAAATAAATAAATTAATAAATGTTTGAGATATATACATACACACATATATGTATGTGTATATACATACACACAGACATACATACGTGTGTGTGTGTGTGTGTGTGTGTGTGTGTGTATAAAGAACATTCACACCTTGGAAGTTGGGAAATACTATAAAAAGCCATGACGGTAATTATTTTATTCCTTGCTTTAATATAAAACTATTTTCAAATAAATTATCTATTAACCTCAAGAAAATAAAATATGTTGATATTATACAATACTATATTTAAATTTTACGCACTTTTAAGTTTCTAAACTTTTTCTGTGTTGTCTACTGGCCTTCACATGTCATCTGTGGCTTCCCCAAAATTCCCATTAAATTTCTTATGCCAGTGCATGGATGGGGAAAGTTGCAATGTGGAAGGAATAGCTGTATATCATATCCTGTATGATTGTGAGTTTTAAATAGATGTTGTGCTTTCCACCACTGTTTTCTCACCATTCTTTTGGTACCATGTGTTATGTGTCTTTTCTTTTTTACTTTCTGTTAAAAGGGAGAAAGCCCTGAGAGGAAAGGGAGTAAAGAAAAATGGCTAATGCACTAAACTAAGAAAGTTTTCAGAGTGTTTTATCAAGCAGATGGGAGCTTCACTTCACTCTCTGGTAGAAAAATATCAAATCATTTCGTTCAGTTCCTTCAATTTAGTTTCAATTCATATCCATTACAATGAATTCAGTTAAAATGAATGCCAAAGGCATTGGTGCCTCAATTCATCCATTTTGTAGAATTGCATTGTATGTTGAATATCACTCAGAGTGGATGGGCCATCATGAGAAGCACAGGCCCTTTCCTCATCCCTCACCCTACGATGAAGTATATAGTTTTATCGAAGAAAAGATTCTTACTTTGGGCATAGTAGGGTCCATCTTAACAGCACCTCTTATCCTCACCCATTAACCCAAGCAGAGTGGTAAGAAAAGAAAGGGAAAAAGAGAGGGCTCCAGTTTAAGTCTGATCCAGGACAGGGTATAAAGATACAAGAAGCTTTATGCAGGGCTTTTCTGAAAGCAAATTCTTGAGATACCACCAACTAAAATTAACTACTAGAGTTCCCACTGATTTTGCTAATGATATTCAAGTAAACAGGATTTGACCTGTCATTTACAGCAAACTCTCAGTTAAGCAGGCATTTATCAGACACTTTATTAATTTTCCAGGTTTTATTTCTCTTGTTCTATCTTTGGGGCATTCCAGAGCTTATAGCATCTTAAATTGGAGGAGCAGGGAATAAGTGTACCTTTGGTTTTAAAAGGGGGGGGGGGGAACGGGTGAGTTGTAATAGGAAAGGATATTGAAGCCAAAATTGTCTGAAGTGATATATTTAGTTTATCTGAAGATGATATCCTCCACTATCAAAGATAATTTATGTGACTGATCCTTAGACAGAGACCCCTGGCTCATGTTACCTATTTGCACTAACTTTCCATTGATTGTAAAAAGATCTGTGAATATCCAAAACCAATCTGTTCAGATGGGAAGAGGTCTGAATTCAATAATCACATGCACTGCAATTTATTTCCACAAGTAGGTCATTGTTGCACTTATCAGAGAATACAGGAAATGCATACCATTGGTAAGTATTTTGAGACTTGAAGAAGCCCGTAGGCAAGGCTATACCTGTGGGAAAAGATTCCATTTCTGATAGCATAGTCATAAAAGTCATCTGAAGCAAAGACAGCATAGATCACATTAAAAGGTTCCCCACTGATAGCCTTCTCTGGTGGCCGCTGGACCCATGACATCTCTAGACCTAGAAAGAAAGCATAGCTAAATAGCATTAATTATTCCACACTAAACAATAGCACAGAACAAGATTTTAATGTGCTAACCCAGGAATTCTGAGTGCTTTATTTTTAAAAAATAATTTACAACGAAAGCGGATCAAGAACACAAAGAGCTGGTTTCCCACCCATTCAACCCCACCAGACCACCCCACCATTTTCACCAGAAATTACAATGTCAGTGTTACTGACTGCTGGCGGTACCCACTGATCACAACAAATTCTCAGTCTTCAGAAGAACAGTGTTTCCTAATGATTTCATGTGGCTTCTGAACAATAAATGTCCCCAAACTATTCTTTACACAAAAGAAGTTATAGCTCATCTTTGGAAGTCCAATTACAAAAGTGTGAGTCTGATTCCCTCCAGTAATAGAGAAGATGTTTCCTGACACTGGGCAATTTGTACTTGTAACAAAGAAAAATCAACATATTTGCTTTCTATTTTCAAATAAGAATGTTAACTTACATTGGCATGATGTTATTAATAATGGCTTAAAACACATTAAAAATCTCCTTTTAAAAAAAGATAGGCTAGCTCTTTCTACATGATTTTCATTCATACTTTAAAAAAAATCCAAAGCCATTTACAGTTGCTTCCCAGAAAATAAGAAAAAGTTAGAGAAACAAAAGCCAGATTGGTACTTACACTAAAAGGCTTCCTTGTTGTTGTTTTTTTTAAATACATGTTCTATTGATTTTGCTGTTGTTGTTCAGTCATTTCAACTCTTCACGACCCCACTGGGGGTTTTCTTAGCAAAGATACTGGAGTAGTTTATCATTTCTTTCTTCAGTCCATTTTACAGATGAGGAACTGGGGCAAACAGGGTTAAGTGACTTGCCTAGGGTCACATAGCTAGTAAGTGTCTGAAGTCAGATTTTAACTCAGGAAAATGAATCTTCCTGACTCCAGGTCCAGCACTCTGTGCCATGTAGCTGCCCTGTTTTATTGATACTTTTTAAAAATATTGCTGTCACTTCCCACGAAACAATGTTTCTGGGACTCAGTTTCTTCACCTGTAAAATGAGGGAACTAGACTGGTTGGCTTCTGAAGCCCCATTCTAGCTCTATAACTATGATCCCTTCCCCTCCAAAGAATTCCCCTGCTAAGCAAAGAAATTCAATTAAGCCAAACAAATCAACAGACTGACCACATATAACAGTACATTCTTCATCTCACACTCATGTGTCCGGTAGAAAGAGTGTAGGATTTGGAGTTGGAGGACCCCAAATTCTGGTGGTGGTTGTTGTTGTTGTTGTTTTCACTTTCTACCTATTTGAAGTTGGACAACTAACAACTTCTCTGGTGCTGGCCATAAAATACAAAGACGAAAACCTGAACATCAACTGTTATATTGTACTATAAAATCATGATGCCTTCAGGGATCATTGCAGATCATTGTCCCTGTACTAGATGTCCTCAAACTGGTTAGATTTGGAAATATTTGTATCTGCTCTTTCAGTCTTTTTTGTCTCCTCCCTTATAGCTGGGGCTATAAGCAATCACATATTATTGTACATATGCTTGCTTATAGCATCTACCACTCCCCTCCACTATATATGGGCTGGAAAACAAAATAGCCAAGACTTTGTCCAAAATAAGAATTAAAAGGTCTGAGTGAGGCCCCAGAGAAGGAGAAGGGGGAGGAAATATGCTTTATTTGGACCTACTATGTGCCAGGCACTGAACTGAGTGCTCTGTGTGTGTGTGTGTATGTGTATGTGTGTGTATATATATATATGTATATTATATATATGTATATGCATATATACATATATATGTATATTATAAATACACACACACACATATTATATATAATCTTATCCTCACAACAACCCTTTGAGATAGGTGCTATTATTACAGTTTTTACAGTTGAGGAAACTGAAGCTAAGCAACTTGCCCAGGATCACACAGCTTATAAATGTCTGAGACCAAATTTGAACTTAGGTCTTCCTGACTCCAGGCTAAGGATTCTATCCACTATACCACCAGCTGCCTCTACAGAAGTCTATCATTTGAATAAAGTACATGATTTTTAGTGCATGAATTCTAATGATTCTCTTTCATATTCTCAGGGTCCTTTTTTTTTTTGGCTTTCTGCTGAGTTCTCACCTGTGTTTCTCAATAGTTTGATTACTATATAAATAATGACTACTACTGTATATTGTTGTACTACTGAATATTGTCATTAAAACCTGTTAAAATTTCAAGTGATTAATTTCTTTTTACTCCCATTACCTCTCTCAATGGACTTAATTAAACTCCCAGAATACATAATAGAAAAAAAAGAAGATACTATGAAGAAAGCATATGGTAAAACATATACTTTCATTTAAATAAATAAATAAAGCCCAGATGTTGAGCTTTGAGGTATGTCCTTGGACAGATTCCCTAACCAACTCAAGGGTTCTTAACTTTTTTTATACCATAGACTCCTTTGGAAATCTGGTAAAGCCTTAAGATCTCCTTCTCAAAATAATGTCTGTTGCCATACAGACATTAAAGGAAATGCTTAATTTCATTTAGATATTAAGGAAAATAAAATGTTAATTTTTTTCATTCAAATACACTAAAATTTATCCAGTTAGGAAGCCATGCTCTAAGTTCTTGCAATTTGTGTGATATTCATAGTTTGAATGAGTTCTGTCATGAAGTCTGCTCCCATTTCACATGAGCAGAGCTGAAAGTAGTCCTAGAGGCCCAATGACAGCCCCTGATTTGTATGTAACAGTTAACATCCTACTTGACATTACCCTAAAATTCATAGTGGAAAAAATTTTGTTTGGAAAAGCATGTTGACTCTAAATCATGAGACTTGGAGTAGCCAATAGGCTACTCTTTCATAGGAAGTAAACAAGGACATATAAATTTTTTTATAAATGTACATATTTTTAATTCCAGAAAAGTGTGTTCTTTGGAGCCTGTAAGTATTTATTCTGTGATAACTCAAGTTGATTTATAGAGGATTAAAACCTCTGGTGGATAGTAGAATATTCAATTTTTAAACTTTGCCTACATTGCACAAATGCTTTGCCCCTGTTCTATCCTGGTTAGATCTGCGAAGAGAGTTTTGCAAAAGCCTTCCTTCTGAGATTACCTCCCCTCATTTACACTGTATAGATCTTGTATGTATATATCCTAATGTCTCTCCCATTCAAATGTGAGTTCATTGAGGGTAGAGGCCAGTTTTTGCCTTCTTTGTATCCTCAGTGTCTAGCACAGTGTCAGGGACACACTAAGCACTTAATAAATGCTCGTTGACTGACCAAATACAAAAGCAGTCAGGCTTCCCAAGAGAAAACAGCCATTTAGTATAACACAGGCAGGACTCCTATAGATTAAACAGGGATGTTTCTACAAGAATATTTATACTTTTCTGGGGGACCACAAGACCCACTCCTGGCATAAATTCCATTTCCTGTCAGCCTGCCACAGTGTCTGAATATTAGAGTCCTTCCTCTGGGTTAGTTCCTGGAAAGCCCCTATTAAAATGAAAACGTATTACCTAAATTGGGAAACATGTTGACCCATGTTATTGTGAGCTAGCTGCACTTTAGCCTTGATTACAGGTTATCAGAGCAACTGGCTTTAGAAAATAAGGCACTCAGGAAATGGGACAGATTTTGATGGAAAGGAGAGGGGAAGAGTCTTGGCACTGCTCAGCAAAGACAGGCAACCATGAAGTGCCACAATGAGGGCTTTGGTGAAGAGGGGTGAGGGTACAGGCAGTGCAGAATGAGGAAGGCAAAAGTTTCAAAGGCAAATACAAGAAAGACAAACAACCTACTTCAACATTTGTCTACAGTCAATTCTGGAAACAGATATTTGAAGTCATTATAACAATAGGCATTCCTCCCCCTCCCCCGCACAAAAAGCATCTTAGCTTCTGAGCATCCTCAGACTTAGTTTTCTACAGGGGCAAAGAGATGACTAGAAAGAATACAGCCAGAGACAAAAGCATTTAGCACAGATATTGAATTCAAAAAAGTTGTGGCAGTTCAGAGTCAGAAAGCTAAGAAGGGATGTGAAGAGCCACTGGGGAAACTACCACCAATATGATTTAGGTTTATCCTTGTTTCCTGGCTTTTTTGAATTTCCTTTCTTTATTAATCTCTCTCCCAACTCTGTTCTTTGATCATTTAAGGTTGTAAAAAACTGCTTACTTAAAAATGACCCTCACAAAGGTATAGGAATGGATCTTTACAAAACCATGTTGACTATTTCGAATCTTCATGAAAACAAAAAGCATAGAAGCAGGAAAAGCTGACTTGGGGCAAATGGCATGACAGATTTGGGTATCATATCTAAAATTCTTGCACTCAGTGCAGATAAATGTTACTATAACAACCTTAAAAATGTACATTTAATGTTTAGGTTTGGAATATATTAACACTTTAATATAAATCAAACTGTGTAGGCTTATTTTGCTTTAATTCTGACTTATTTAATTTCAATTTATTTTATATATGTGGAAAAACCTAGCTATGTTCTGTTAAGTTTAAGTTTCTTTGTAACTTCAAGCTCTTTAACAGATGGTAGCTTCCATTTAATTTTGTGAGTTAAAATAAGGGGGCCTCCTACTTCCCTGAGATCCAGGCCATCTTTGTTAACTCCTGTATCACCTTCATGCTCACTGTAATGCTTTAACAACCTTACACTTAGCCTGTCCTCCAGTTGTTCAGCCTCAGGAAGAATCATCTCTCATCCTCTCTAAAGCTATTTGTGTCCTTGACCCCATCCCTTCTCGACTTCTAGAGAATCATGCTGCTACACTTCTACCATCTTTCTCATTCTAAATTGCTGTCTTTGTCTCTGTGTCTCTGTCTCTTTCTATCTCTCACTGTCTCTTTCTGTCTCTACCTCTCTTTTTCTGTCTCTGTGTGTTCTCACTCGATCTCTCTCTCTCTTTCCTTCTTTCCCTCCTTTTGTCTCATCTCTCTGTCTTTGTCTCTGTCTTCCTGTCTTTGCTG